AGGTTTAGATTCTGATTTTTTTCATAACATTTAGTTTTTAAAATAAGTATTAATTAGTAATTAAGTTCTAATTAAACTATTATAATGTCATAACATTTTTTTAGTACAGTATTTGCGGGATAAAAAAAAAATTAACAGTTATATGTATATTTTGATACTTAAGAAAAAAGACGTTTAAAAATTATAATTCAATTGGTTGTTATGATTTCAAAATTGTGTGACCAAGTGTAATACAAAACAAATCTAATTACAACCTTGTCTTAAGAATTAAAAAGCACATAATGCTGTTAATTTTTTTTTCTAAACTCGCAAAAACTATAAAAAAATTTCTAAAAATTAACTTGTAGTCTTATTAGAAATCTTTGAATTTATATTTTTTCATAATTGCACTTTTCATGTAATGAAAAAATTTATATTCTATAATTTCTTACAAAATTATCTATCTATTGATAACAATTTCATAATTATAAAATTGATTCAAAATTTATTAAAGGAGAAAGTTAGTTTATTTCTAAAAAATACTCATCAAACTCAAATCTAACTGAAATCTATATAAACGGTTGAATTTAACCGATATGCTTCAAATTTTGAACACATTATTTTTAAATAATCAAATTTCACTAAAAATAGTACAAAAAAATTGTTTACAGTTTTTTATGTTTTAACTTATTATTTATTAATAATAATTATCTTAAAAACTAGACGTAATGGAAAAAATATGAATCTATAGTTGAAATTCCATATGAAAATTACATAAATATTTCAGACAGTAAATTGGCTATTATCCTTGTGTTATGAAAATGTACACATTTTTTTTTTTAATAAAAATGCATTAAGAAATTTGTGCGTACATTTTTTATTATAGCGAGGATATATTAAGAAGAAAAATGAATAGTATGAATTTCATTGTTTTAAAATAAATGTATCTTTTTATTAAAAGAGAGAAGTATTTGCTAATATCCTCGCCTTCTAGATTAAAAATTGTAATTATCTTTCTCATTAATTATTTTGAATTGTTCATTCATAATATTTGTTTCATAAATTATCAATAAAGCCTAATTAATAACATATAATCATAAAAAAATGTTACAAGTTGATAAATTTGATAAAATCATTAATACATTTGAAAATGTTCCTCAGATAGAATATTAACGATCATGTCAATAAAATTATATTTTTGTTTAATTAAAATATAATTTCTCACTTGTTGAAAAACAAATTTTTAATTAATATTATTAGCGAACATATTTATTTATGAAATAGTACATACAATTACAAAGTTATGTTTTGTGACGTAAATTTTAATAATTTTATTTAAAAAGTGAGAGTTAAATCACGACTGCTTAAACTGACATGTTTAATTTAAGGAAGGTAATAAATGTGTAATGGGTTGATGTTTTATTTAATTCACAACTTAAATCAATTATTGTATTTACATTCTAATTCACACAAATGAATAGTACTCTGACGAAAAAATAAGAATCATACTATTCACATTTGAATAAATACACGTTATGTATTTATAAAATATTTGAATACACCTTTTTGCCTACATTTAATACTCTAAAAGCTTTATTACATAAATAAATGGTTTTATTTTGTCGTCCGCAGTTGTTTCATTTTAAAAAAATTAAGAAAATATCACAAGTAAAAACTTTTGAGATTTAACTAACTACTATAACGAATAGATTAATAGAAATTCCTGTACGGCATACATGGCTAAGCAATAAGCGTATTAACAGTAGTGATACATCAAAGTCATTGGCACTTTATTTCAATTCACCGAAAACATTTCTCAAGTATTTAATTTTACACAGTGAAAGCCATTTCCGAACAGACGCAACGGAGAAAGTATAATACTTCAAACATCTAAAATAACCTTGATAGAAAAAGCCTGTCTTCAAGATAGCTACTAATTGGACCATAACTGTTTACCTATGTAATTATTAAAAAAATAATTATTATAATACAAATTTAAACATCTCATATAATAATTTTTTTCACTATTATAAATATAGTAAAATCGTTATCTCATAATCATCTCGAGTCTATTTATATATTTGCATATATACTCGTGTAATTAATAAAGCACTATTATAAACAATGTTTTTAAAAACGTGATCGTAGTTTAACTGTTTGTTAAATTTACATAAATAAAAATATTACATGATGTAAAAAATATATAATAACTAATACATTGACTTAATGCTACAAAGTTAAATGTTTTGTGAAGATAGAATCTTCAATATTCAATTATAAAGCCAACAGTTAGAAGTTTATTTATGATTTTTGACATGGCTATTAATCATAAATAAATTTGGTACAATGTGTTCCCTTCACCCCCTTAGATACACTTTTATTAACAGACAATTTCAAAATTGTATCTATAACGTAATTATTCATTTATATTAATAAATTTTCACATTCAACCAAAAATCATTGCCCATAAAATATCTCAGTTGGACCAATTTTTTTGGCTTACATTTAAAGAACTCAATTTGCATATAGTTAAACCTATCGGCATTGTAAATTTGAAAAAAAAAAAATTATTTATATCTTAAAGTTTCTTCTCGGCTAAATATTAATTTTTTACTACCTATGCGAAGTTGAGAAGGTATTACTTTTACCATGATTTCAATTTAGTTGAATTTATCAGTATTGAAAATCATACTACCGTGTATTAACTTAGTTTTTAAACTTTTATTTTCTATGAAAATGTAATAGGAAAGCTAAATACAAGATAGATTTAAAAGAAATTACCCAAGCATACAAAAAATTTAATCAACTGAATTTTTGAAAATATTCCGGAATAACTTTTAACATATACAAAATTAAAGCTTTTAAAGTGTACTAAAATATTAAAAAAATACTTTGTCCGGACGTTTGTTCTAATATAAGAATTCAGTCGCCAAAGTAAAAAATTACTATTACAAGTACCGCAAATTTTACAAAAATATTACTTCATTTTCAATAAAGCAAATAATTTAATAAGCATTAATATTTGAGTATATCAATAAAACATAGAAATTGTAAAATTAAAAATATATAAATTATTGTGAAACCTAACAGATTCGCATCAAAGCGTTTTTTTATGGTAGTTATAATAATCACTGTTAGATATCATCAAAATTTCCTTCAACTAAGTCGCGACCTCACTGTGAGAAATCTGAGAAATCAGCTATTAAAGTTAACAAATTCGCAATTTCTTTTAAAAATTAATCGCTCTCTACAAATTGGCAAGAATACTTTTTTATCATAGTTATTTTACTGAAATGTTATTACTGATATACAGGGTGATTTTTTTATCATAACCCACTCAATTACTTACAGAATAATAATAATTTAAAAAAATTTTTTATTACTATCTTTAGTTACACATTATTCTTGAATTATTAACTATGTAATACTTTTTAAGTTCATCCCTTATGCCTGGTAAGGGTGTCAACTTTGTTTTTTTAAATGGTAACACATATTTTTAATTTAATAAAATGTTTGAGTTTTTAATTCAATAGTAAATGGCATTTGAATTTTTAATAAAACTTAATTTGTTTATTAGATATAAACATTTAAAGTTTCAAATTTTTGAGTTAATATATAGGTATAATACACAAGGGATTACAAATACAGGTAGCTAATTGGTTTTTTATGACATCGATATTAGCAGGTACACAGCATTGTTATTATCAATGATAGTAAGGTACATTGTTGTGAGTTTATAAATACACTAACTGACAATGCAAAAAGTATATCTATTGATAGTCATATTTGATAATAAACAATGCGTGACTGTGATAGCAATATCATAAAAAACCAATTAGCTACCTGTATTTGTATTCCCTTGTATTATACCTATATATTAACTCAAAAATTTGAAACTTTAAATGTTTATATCTAATAAACAAATAAAGTTTCATTAAAAATTCAAATGCCATTTACTATTGAATTAAAAACTCAAACATTTTATTAAATTAAAAATATGTGTTACCATTTAAAAAAACAAAGTTGACACCCTTACCAGGCATAAGGGATGAACTTAAAAAGTATTACATAGTTAATAATTCAAGAATAATGTGTAACTAAAGATAGTAATAAAAAAAAAAATTTTAATTATTATTATTCTATAAGTAATTCAGTGGGATATGATAAAAAAATCACCCTGTATATGTTCTACACTTGTCCTAACTATACCATGTCCCCATTGTGCTGGCTTTTATTAATTTAATTAAATTTTTTAATTACTACTTTGTGACTATTGGCTTTTCAGACTTTTCAGAGGCTGAAAAATGTGCTTTTTATTTGATAATGAAGCAACAAGTAACTATTGTTTTTTAATAGTTTCTTTTGCTCATTGCTTTATTTGGAAGGTACGATCAATTTTACACACTATTCATGTGTAAAATAAACGTGTATATTAAAAATAATATACTGACGAGGAGGAATTTTTGGATAATTTCGTCCAATGTAAAAAAATTTCTAAACATAATTCTTATCGTATTTTCTTAAGTTTTTTCTGATACAAAAAAATTACAAATTTGGACAAACAAAATATATGATATATTAGTATAATCACGAATTAATATGAGCGTTTTATAAAAATAATAGATATATTCAATGCATGAATCAAAGCATAAAAATGGAATATTAGATTTAAAAATGTAATAAAATATTAGCTTTTCAATGCAATTTATTAAGGGATGCTTCAAATGTCTTTAAACGCTCATATATTTTTAAAAATATTTTCTTTTATTAAAATTACACTTATTACATACATTTTTTTGTTTTTATTTCTAGTGTCTGTTATAAAATTAATTATTGTTCGATTTAAATATAAATTTTGTATAAGAAATAGAAGAAACATATTTCAATTTACAATTCTCAACATCATATATATTTAATGTTGTATCAAGGTAAATTTTTGCTAATATCGACCATTTTTATTTCTATAAAATAAACATCAGCTGCTGATATTTTTTAATAGAATCAACTAAATAACATCTACATAAAATTTTCAACAAATTTTTATTATATAATCAAATTATTATATCTCTATAAGGAAGAATGTTTATTTTTAGTATAAATTTTTTTTTAATAAATAATTAAAATACATAGAAATTTAAAAATTATGATAAATTACTCACTAAACGTTTGACCTAATATTATTTACATTTTTTAAAAATCAAGTTTGAAATAAAAATTCTGACTAAGGTATTCTATAAAAAATATATATAGTAAATATTTTACATATGTAAGTTTATGCCAAGGTTTAACAATCATTCATTTTTAGAACGAAATTTAAAATTTATAATGGATCTCTAGTCCAAAAACTACTATATAGTTAAAAAAATAAAAAAAATATTTAACAAAATTATTCATAATATTTATGTACATAAAATAATCCATTAATTATTTCCTATAATTTTTATTTTTTGATTTCTATTCCCATTATTTAAATTTTTTAAAATGCCTTAAACATCATTCATAAAATTTGTCTAATTTAAACAAATAATTGTGTTTTCATTACTTTTAAAATTAAAAAAAAAATATCTTTAGTTTAAAAATATTTAACTCGGGTATTATAAATGGATGTAATTTTCAATAATATCAAGTGATTTTGAATTTAGATCCTATAGTGAATATAAAACAATTAGATTGAGTATATATATAATATATATGTATAATGAATATACATATTATTTATAAATATTTGAGTAATTAGAGGCAATATCATAGATGAGAAAATGAAATAAAAATACATTTTATTTCTCGAATCAATAAAATGCGAATTTTGTAGTTATCTTATATTATGTCTTTTCCCGGTGAATGAAGATTGAAAGAAAGCCTCAATTGGTAATAGGGGCCGTTCGGGCGCAAAGGAATAATATTTATGGTTAGTTGGTTCTAGAGTGCTTGTAACAATATAGTCTACATCTTCTGAAGATGCGACATGCATAGTTTCAACAGGTTTTTCATTTATTGCAACAGAACTACGTCGGATCACGTTAGTTTCAGCCTCTGTTGTTGGCAATTTAGGAAGCGTTCGTCTTTTGGCAGAATAAACCATAGTCGGTTTGGAAGTTTCAGCTGGTTGTGGCTCTTCAGTTTCTTCTATTGGTGCATTTTCTGAAGTTGACTCAGTACTTGTCCTCAGACGATTATATTTACCTGGTTTATACTTAGCTCGATAAACTATTCTTCTTTCGATAGTCGTTGTTTCTGGTTCAATTTGTGGTTCTTCAGTGGTCGATGTGCTTGTTGACTTGAACCGATTTGGTCGAGCGCGTAGTTTATAAGTTTTTCTAGTGGTTGTTTGCTCTGACACTTCCCGGTCTTGCGTAGTGCTAGTGGTAGTGATTGTAGTCCGACGAGTTGGTGAAGATTGTGGAACTACTTTTGCAGTAGTCATTATTGTTAATGGTGTTGATGTTGAGGTTTTATAATCTTTAATACTGAATCTTGGACGAGTTCCGTTTCCGTACTTAGGTTTTGTTCTCACTCTAAGAGCTAATGAGTCCGATTCTGTAGTAGTACTTGGCTGAGTTGTCGTTGTAGTAGTAGTTGTAGTCGTTGAAGTTGTGGTTGGTGGCGAGAACGATTCTTGTTGCTCAACATTATTGTTCATTAACTTATCATCGGGATCTCTCAATCTATTATAAGAGTACAATGATGATGGCAATGGTTTCTTTTTCTTATATTTGTTAAGTACAAGTTCAGGTTCATAATACGAAGTAGTCGAATCTTCCTCTTGTTGTGGTGCTTCATATTCTTCCTCCGGTATTGCTGTGGTTGTTCTTGTTTTGGATGGTTTTTTTCTACGTAAAGGTCTGATTGGTGGAGGTGGTGGTTCTGTGGTTGTAGTGGTAATTTGTGGATGTTTAGAAAAGCCATACTGTTCTATAGATTCAGTTTCGTCTTGTTCTTCACTTCCTTCATTGAATTCTTCAGAACCAGTTATTATGTCTTTGTTATAATGGGATAAGCCATAATTAGAATGCCAAGTGTCACTCAGATTGAATGTAGAGGGCGTTGGTAAAAATGTCGGCAATGCATTTACCTCTTTTACAGGAAATATACGGAATAGTTCTGGATTGTTAGTAGGAGGTGTTGGGAATCTACTGAAAGGTCTTGTCGAGGGATGTGTAAAAGCAGATGATAGATCGATCGGTGGTGCGGTGGTTTTAATTGTATCCGATTCTTGTCCGAATCTAACTTCTGAACCTACATTAAAGTTATGAATAAATTGATTTGGTTTAATATAAACGTTATGGTCACTAGGTTGTTCAAAGGGCCTTGCAAAATTTGAAATTTGTGGGAATAACTTTTGATTATCAACGTGGCCAGGGTATTTCTGGAAGTACGGATTTTCCGTAGTTGATTTAATAAATTGCTGTTGATGAACGGCAGAAGTTTCTGCTGTATTGATTTGATAAGTCTTTGGTCGTTGTTCAGAATATATTTGTTTATTAATGGGTCGTGAATATATATGATCATTGGAAACAAAATGTTGTACAACACGCTTAGGTGTTTCTTTTAAAGTTTGTGACTCTTTGTACACGGGTAATTTGTGATTAGTTTGATATTGAAAAAACTGAGGTTGTGATTGCAGGGGTGCTCTATGATAATTTTGAGGATGTCTTTGTTGGGCATTAAACCCAAAAATAGCCAATGGTTTTTGTTCATCCTGAATTTCTTGATGTTCGTTTTGTTGATAACGACGATCATTTCCTTCATCGTATTGTCTATCAAAATTATAGCTAGGTCTAAAATTCAACATATGAGCCGGTTCTCGTGCTTCTATTGTAGCATGGCCGAATTCACTAAAAGATCCAAGAATAGATGGAGGTGGTGGGGCAAATACTTCGACTTTGTTCGACGCTGCATCATCCATTTGTTGGATAGATGGTCTACTGCTAAACCTAACTGTAGGAGTTATGTGAATGTTTGGCGTATGAGGATGACTTAATCTAGTAGAACGTTTGTCAGCACTAGGTACAGGTACCCAGTCATCTTGCAAATCATTGGAAAACACCTGAAAAAATTGTATAGTTAAAATCTACAATTATAGTCTTAACAATAATTTTTCAAAATGAATTTACATTATTTTCCTTTGGCAAATAAAAGTGTTCACTTGCGACAATGACAACAATTCCTTTAAAATAAAATATATAAGTATTACAATTTTTATGACCATTTATAAAACAGAAATAATTACCTAAAAGAATGTTGAGAGAAATCCAACAAGTAGAAATCCTTACACTCATTGTATTTTTGTTAAACCCATTTACTCCTGAAAAATTGTTAATTAAAAAATATATATATTTATATCCTTTGAGTTAACATAAACAAAAAATTAAATAATTGACATTTAATCAAAATTCATTCAAAAAATTATATTATCTTATTTAGTAAACACTATCTTAACGTTCTATTAATCTTCAAGTTTTCTTTTTAAATGAATATTATTAATGTAAAATTATAATGAATGATAAGACCAAAGGTTACGACACTAAAAGTATAGAGTAGTAAACATTTAGTTTTGCCATTTGAATAAAGTTTTTAAAATTGTGCAACCTTTATTTTAGTAATTATTTTTAGTAATATCCTTTTATATTAAAAATTTATCAATTAAAATGATTAAATTTTGCTAGAGAGAGAGATTATGATACATCACGCACCCTTCTAGAATTTTTTATGATAATATTAATATTTTATTTTATACTACAATTTTTGTCATGTTATTAATTGAATATTATAATTTTAAAATAAATTATATAATAATAAATAGGAAAATACTCAATTAAAAAAGGTGAAATGAATTCATTCGTAGGTATGTAAATTGTATTGCCTATCTTCGCCCTACATCAAAGTATAATAAACATTAGATTATGTGATTAATCTAAATCACATTAAAATATTGGTTTTTTGGTAGTTATCCTGTTTATATCACACCTGATATATTTTAATTCAGTGCATCTGGTAGTAAGAGAACATTTATTTTACTAAATGTTTAATTTTTATAAAAATTATTAAGTATTATGAAATTTTATTAATAATATTAAAATATCTTGCTAAATAATATTTTCGATTGAAATATAACTTTCAATCCTTTTTTTTTTTACTTCAATTTTAATTTTTCTTTTCTACTTGTAATTATAAAAAATATGTCATTTTTTCATAATAAATGATCACGAATATAAAAGAAAAGAAAGTGAACAAAATATCTAACGTAGAGTTGTACGTGTTATTGGATAATTGAAAATATGTGAATTGTCATTTTTGGATAATAGTGAGTAAACCGATAGTCAAAATACATCGATGCATTCAAATATAATGAAATATATATATATAATAAGTTATTCGAATCATATAGTTTAATAACTAGTTTTTAAATATTAAATAAAAGTGAATTTCTATAATATATTACATAAATAACTAAAAATTTATGTTCTTTCAAAATCAAACAAAAAAAATCAAAGCAGTGTATAAAGCGTTATATGTCCAGAATGATTCTTTTATCGTTTGCCACTGAATATCTCTAAAAATAAAAATTATTTTTAAATTTTCATTATCTATTTTTAAATAATCTTTTTATTTCATTCCTTGTCCCAATATGCCCCAACACAGCAGTAACATATTTAAGATTAATTATGGGAGGGTATTGGTTAAAGTGAGGAGGGACGGAGTCTCCATTCTTATTTGGAGTGTAATTTAGCGTTCCTTTTAAGTCAAATCCCAAAAAGGCCGGGGGACGCTTTAATTTTGAGCACTGAAGAGTGTAAAACGTTAATATAAGAAATTTATTCGAATAGTCACAATTTCAAAAAAATAATTGTAGAAGAACTAAAATTATGAAATTATACGAATTTTATGATGAGACCGTGGTAATTTAAATACTTGGAGTCCGGTCTTAGAGTATAAACTGTAGTCAATAATCTTCAACCGTGGTGATTAACTGATAAGTTGATAACTTATAATAATAAGTTTTATACATAGATCTTATAAATAAATAATATTATATGACGTAATAACTTGTTTGTAATAACTATGACTAGTCTTTTGAAGTATGACTTTACAAAGATTAAAAAGACTGATGTTAATTTATCTAGTCCAAATATTGAACAAACAAGCAAATTAGTGAAATTATTATTTCTGTGAACAGCTGTTTGGCTAAAATAAAATTAACAGAGATTAAATTAGACGTTCCTGAATGTTGGGATTTTAATTAAGTATTATTCATTTTTTATGTTAATATATTTCAACATATTTATTAGTTTATTAAATTTACATTATCGTGTCTAGTTAAAAAATTCATATTGGTTCATGAATTTTATATTAATAATTAACGTCTGCTTGCATGAATATGTACAAATTATAAATTAGTGATATAGATATAAATGTTGTAACATAAGTCATGTGTGTCAAAAGGTAGTTTTTAATACCTACCTAAATGTTATTCTGGTTCAAGCACGTAAAAAAATATCATAAGGTTATCATAAAAAATATGTTTGTACAAATAATTATTGTTATTTATGTGTTTGGGATTATTATAATTTTGATACTTTGTGATGTGTTTTCATAATATTTATTTCTAATTGATTTTTAATGAAATAACAAAAATTCTAGGTTGGTACTAATCTATTCCTTTATTGAGATAATTTTTATTACTAAGTAAGTCTATTTACCTATTATGATCAATATCATTTTTAGCCTTTGAAGAAGGGAGACTATTCGGCGTGGCTCCTCATTTTTAGGAACTATAGTCCCCCCTCGTAGTTTTTCCCACTTGAACCACTGTGGGAGGGTATAAATAAATTTCAGAATGTAGAATATTACGTAACTTAATAAAATATAAATTTGAATTACGACTTTTTTCTGTGATATCAAGTTACATTTAAATATTAATGATTATCATGACAAATAAAAATTTTTTAAAATCGTATTCATTAACAGATAGTTGGTATATAAATTTAATACCATTTATTATTTTTAGATTTAATATGAAAGTAAAAATTTAAATTTAATAATTAATACAAATAGCAGTAATAATTAATGATGTAAAATTACCGTCAAAATCTTTTTTGAGAATATTCTCTAAAGAATAAAATATTTTTTTATTTTATTTTTATTGTAGTTTACATTATTATAAAATAATCTTAAATTGGCAAACTTTTAAAAAAATTGGTCACTTCCGATTTTATCTTTTTAGTTTCAGATAATTTGATAATAAAAAATTTGAGATATAATCTACTCTTAATACATAATTGAATAGAAAATTTTATGAGAATTAAAAAAGTAATATTGTTAAGATGAATATGTAGTCAGGAAATTTAAAATTACAATTTACTATAAATAATCAGAAAAGATCAATATTTTTTTTGCATTTTTATTATAATAGATAACTTAAAGTAAACCATAGTAATTATTTCTAAGTAATTTTTGGTGTTTTAAAAAATATTCTACATTTGAAATATTCAAAACTTAATTAATTTTAATGATAATGACAGGGACGCCGAAACTATTTTTTAACTATTTTTTCCTGACGACCAATCTTCTCATTGAAAATGGCTGTCGTAGTTAAATAACATACAATTTTTGTGTTCAAATTTTATTATTTTTTTTTTTTTGATTTTAAAATACCTTATATGGATTTGTTATGAGTCCATAAATAAATATATAAAATTTACATTAACTATAAATTTGTACTTATTTTGATTATTTTGCCTCTTCAAAATTAAGAAAAGTAGGTTTGACTTTTTGAAAACTTGAAAATTTGTATAAAAAGTAGAACTTTTTCAACTTAAGTTTTGAAAATGTTCCGGGAATACTGTTTCTTTTAAATATATGTTAAAATATATTATAGCTTATTTTATGTACTGGAAGTTAAAAAAAAAATTTGTACTAACGACCTATTTTCTATGTGCAAATTGATTAAAAAAAAAAAAATAGTTAATTTTGCTTTAAAAATAATTCACCGATTTCTTAAAATTAAAGACTATCTACAAATTTGCATCGAAGCGTTACTTATGATAGTGATTTTAATTACTGTCAAATATCATTTATACTTGTCCCAACTATGCCACGACTCCACTGTGCTACTGTTTTTTAAAATTCAACTGGAGTTAGGTAAATTTATTAACACTTTTTAATCCTAAAATCTGAGTAGTTAAATAATTAAGTATTGTAGTGTTATATGAATTATAATCAACGAATCCAGATTTGTTGAAATTTTTTTGTTAGATTTTATTGGGAGGACATAATTACACTTTTGCCTCCCTCGTGTTTTGACCAAGAGTGCAACTTCCCCCTTTGACCCCAGATCCGGCGCCACTGTTAATGATTTACTTTAACTATAATACAATCAAAATGTTGTTAAAAGTCTAATCAGTTGAGCGTATTATAAAATGTCATAATTGTAAATTTTTTTTTTTAATTCAGGCGAAACTAAAATTAAATTTTAATAAAATTAAACTTAAATTTGTAATTTTTTTGGATATTTCCCCCATTTTCGGGAAACGAGGGAATTTTTTTCAATTTTTAAGGGTAATGTCTCCAACTAGATACGATTTGTGATCTTTTGACGTATTTTTGAAAGAAATCGGTCTAGTGAGAACTGAGAAAAGTGGCAACAGACATAAAAAAAAAAAAAATTGAATAAATGTCGAAAATTAGCGATTTATAAATTTGTAAATTTTTTGGAGATTTCCCCATCTACGGAAAAAGAGGGAAGTTTTTTCAATTTTTGAGGGCAATGTCTTCGACTAAATACGATTTGTGATCATTTGGCGTATTGTTGAAAGAAATCGGTTCGGTGAGAGCTGAGAGCTGAGAAAAAATGTTAACAGACACAAAAAATAAATAAATAAATAAAAAAACACATTATTGTAAAATTAATATCTTCTCAGATCGAATCGAAGTTAAAAAAAATGTATTTTTTTTTCATATTGTACAACAAATATTTACATAAACGTTTATTGATTTATAATAAATTGGTATAATAATAACTTATGTTAATTAATATGTTTAGAATATTAAATTATTAAATTTTCCTCAAATAATTGAATTGATGAGTAAAAAAAGTCATGTCTTAGATTTGAGAACATAGAGATATAGGCTGAATTTTTTTCTAACACATTGGGCCAAAAACCCCTTAATCCGCCCTATAATTAACTCATAGATAATTTTTCCAAAACCTACCAAGACTAAAAGGTATAAACAATCATGATTTCTATCCAATAAAATTCCTTGGTATAGTACATGTTTACATAGTAAATATCTAAGTACATAAATTCATTGTCTAGAAAAACAAATTTAGTATTAACAGCAAACGTACACTGTAAGGATTATACTTTCACTATTGAGTATTACAATAGCAACGACATTGACCTTCTCAAAAGGTATAAAAAATCTTAAATGCAATTTTATGGTATCCATTATCCTTACTTTTCTAGCATAAAAATAAATAAACAACTCAAATATCCTAACCGTTATACAATTAAACGAGTAATGTTAATATATATAACAAAAGTAAAAGGCATATTTTTAAGAAGTGTTTTGATATACAGTAGGTTACTAGATTTTGATTTATGTATGTGAATAATTGTTGTTAACTAAGAACAAGGAATGATTATAAAAATACTACAGAAAATAGTAGTTATATAGTTGTTTTTTCATTTTAACATTAATTGTAAAATAGTTATAATTTCTATCGTAAAATATAAATAATAATAACTACTATAACATTTATTTTTGAAATCCATATAGTGAAAGCTTTCATGATACAACTAAAAGGACAATAATAATTTGATACTACAAAATCTCAGTCACGTTTAAGTCAGATAATTTCAAAATTGTTTTCACTACTCGTGCATTGTATATTAATAAAATATCGAATGGGAATGTTGAGACAATTTTCAAATCATAAATAATTTTTATCATGTAATAATTAATAATTTATTTTTAAATGTTCACACACTAGACTTATGCAAAAAAGCTGAAAAATGTGAAACGTACATCAGTTATCAAAATATAAACCCATAAAAAAATATTGATTTTATGCAATTTTTATTTTCATAAGAATTAAAAATAACATAAAGGAATAATAATAATGATGAATAATTGGATGTTTTAAATCACAGGTTTTCGATATCTACTTTCTCGTTAGTTGTTGTTTCATGCCTCAAAAAAAAAAAAAAATGGAATAAAATTTTTAGGCAAATTTGAAATACTGCAGTTCTTTGTAAAACACATGTTTTCCTTTTGAATCAGTTTTACAAATCCAATAACGTCATTATGCTTTCACCATATATAATCAAGACAGAATTATTTATTTTTATATTATCCTGAGACTTGATAATAATATAGTAATTTTATCAAAAGGTCATAGCGGAATTCACGATATAGAACACGGTACTAATAAGTTAAGGGAAAATGTATTATTTTTATATCGAACAGGTCAATGCATATTATTAAGATTAAATTATTACAACTTCACACATGCTATATTTTTTAGGACATTCATACTATGCATTAATATATGATCGATTTAATGGTAAGGTGTTGGGAATCACGTGTTTGAGATTGATAGGCAATTCAAGCGGAATAGATCTGTAAAACGCAATGTATCATTAAATAAAGAATCGTGAGTATTGTACCTACTACATGTTATTTATTTTATTTATCCTCGGGAATTTTTCATTTTAAATAAGACATTACACGATATTTAATTTTACTTTATATTTTGGTATACTTACTAGAAAAATATAAGGAACTAAAGAGATTATAGTTTAAATCGAATAATAATTTCTTCATAATTTTTTCCAGTAGCATATTGAAAGACTAAAATCTACAGGTTATTATTATTGAGTTACTCACTTAAATATAAAATGTGATTGTAGCTTCTTTTTTCTTTATATTAATGAAAATAAACTTCACTTTCACCGATAACTATTTTTATAATTGGTACGATTATCTTTTAAGTCATAAGTTGTTAACTTGATTTTTAAAGTTTAATTTAATAATATTTTATAGTTTAAATGTAACGCAGTATTAAAATTATAATGTACTTTTTATAAAAAAAATTAATTTTATTTTTAATTGTAAGTTAAAAAGTTCATTTCTTAAACAACATAAACATATATCATTGATTAATGAACCGGATACAGATTATTTTTATAAAATAAAATAATTTGCCCAATTTATATAACATAAATGTGTAACGACAAAAGACATATGAATAAAACTTATTAGCTGTTGTGTGTAGTTTTTGTGTAATCAGTGAATCCTTTTTAACGATACACTACAGCGATTTCAATGAATTTTGTAACACTTTTTTTTTAATAATATTACGGAGACGTTAACGCTAGGTAACAATGCTACAAAATAAAACGTAACATCGTGCTCACCGGAAGTTAGTGAGATTTTTCCTACATATACATATGTACAAAAATAATTCATTTGTTGATTTTTTTATACATACGCATGTTCTATTACAAAAAATTGTCTATTGACCAATGACTGAAAATTTTTGGGATAAACTTCAATAAAAAACATAGGAAATATATATATATAAGCAGGATCGTATTCTTGACAGGAGGGCTAAGACCAAGGGCGCAATACTGCCCTGTATACAGAGTGTTCAGTAAGTTAGGAAACAGTTAAATTGTTACAAACAATGAGTACAATAGAAATTCGTTTCCTTATTTACTGAACACCCTGTATAGGTCGATAATACGTGTTCATTAAAAAAAAAAAAATTAGTTAATTAAATTAATAGATTTATATAACATATAGTATACTATATCATAGTGCCTATCAAAATTTGACCGCTTCCAGAAGATTATCAATTACTAGTTAATAATTTTTTTGTTACACTGTAACTATAATTATACCCTTTCTTTAATGGTAATAAATATGTAATTAGTCATTTAAAAATATTTACTATTCTCCGGTATTAATTTTATTTTCAATGTAAAACCTATAGCAAAGAAAAATTAGATTTGGTTCTACGATTAATATATTAATTTACTCCGAAGTCTTAATGGCTTTAAAACGCTAATTAAACATTAGCAGAAATGTTTTAGGCACTAAAAGCAAAATAATAATTAATACTACTTATTGATTTGCAATAGCATTACCCTTCTTGTTTTGCAAATTATCCGTTTTAGAGGCGTAGAAAGGATTTTTGCTTGGATTTAAGCTATTTTGTTTTTTGCATATTATTATTATTTTGCTCTTATTAGCGCCTAAGTCGTACACTTTTTACAGTAATATAGTCAATGGGGTAATGCTAATACCGTGTATTCAACCCTGGTCACGCCATTAATCAGTTTCGATATCTTTTCAAAATTAACCATTTTAAGCTTTATTCACAAGGTTATAATTTGTATGAAAAAATATTTATGAAATTTTTCTTTATTTAATTTACTTTAATTAAAATACACACTCAAAAAATTGTAAAATAACGTAAACACATACTTTTTATAGCATACTGTTACTCCTATATATGATATATTTCCCTTAAGGTAAAAAAGGTTGTAAAAGGCAGATTTCATGCATAAAAAATAATTATTTTGAAGTGGGTCATGATTTTTTGTGGTTTGACCTCTGGCTAGTGAGAGTTAAATTTTGATTTTAAAACAGAATGATAAAAAAAAACTGTTCAACATAAAAAAAAATAAGTTACATAGAATATATGAGCCTTAAATTAATATTTCGGAAATAATCTTTTTTCTAAAAATGTTAGCTAAAAATTTCTTTGAGTGAAAAATGTGATGAATAGCGAATTTAATAACTTCATTAATTAAATCAACTATTTGTAATTATTTTAAGTAAAAAAACACTTAAACCTAAATTTATCTTTTATTTTAAGGGAAGAGAATAAAAAAGAAACCGCGCATCAGATTCCTATCAATAAGTGTTGGTAAATTTATACTGTCTAACCTTACAAAAATCAAAATTCTTTAAATTTATTTAATGAATAATAATTTTTATTTCATATCAAATGGTCAAAGCCCGGATTAGGATAGATTTAAGAAGTAGGTAATGAAAAAGATGAATTAATGAGTATTATTAAAGCCTATGAGCATAAAATATTTATGTTAAATTAATTTTAACTCAAACCGGATATGAACTTTTAAAATAAGAGTACTTTCAACTGTATTAAATTGAAATTATAAAAATAACATAATTATTAACCGTTAATTAAAATAAAGTACTTCTAGTTATACAGTAATTATAGTTCAGGTTTATAAAGAAATTATACTCTATTCATTTCTTGCAGTTTAACATGTTGATATAGGTAATCAAGCATACCGAAACTGGTTTTCCAATTTACTGAACTGATTAGCCAGTTCTTCGCAGTATCCACATTAACGTATTACATATTTTCCCCTCGGTTCATCAAATATTTTAAGATTTTTCAAAGTCATTGTTAATACTTACTAAAACTCAATCTTATCTTCAGCTGGCGTAATAACTTTTGGCCGGACGGAATATCCAAAGGCGGCACAAAATACGGATTACAAAATAATAAAAGAGTATCTATTTATGTAAGTAACAAGCACGAGACACTTTCCCGGACTTTGACAGCCGTACCGGACGATTCAAAACGCGGTTGAGTGTTGTTAGGTCAGTAACTGTTGTGATGGACTGCAGCAACGACTATAAGAATCACGAACACGCGACCTGCAAGAACGGTGGTGACGACTTGGACGAACGAAAACGAATGTGGGTTTATTGGTCGGTCTTCAATGAGTATAGTAGAGACGAAGAGACAGTGCTGCTTGCCAGTTTACTCAAATACATATGAAGACACAACACACTCCACAGAAGAAAGTAGGCTATAGTCAATAAATCCGACGATGGTCAAATCGCGTTTATTTGGTTCTCTGTGCACGTGATTGTTATAATTGTAATAATATTATATTATGTTTCGTTATTATTGTAGTCGTTCAGAAGAAAGCAAACGCCGACATTTACCCGCACGCGTCACTCGATTGTTCTCGAATTTACCATTTTTTTTTTCATTTTTTATGATTTAATTTCCGCCGTCCAGCGTATTCAAAGTTCGTTAATCTTGCGCAATGTTTTTAGTATTACCTTAAGCCTACCGATAGTTTCAATTCGTAACTCATATGTATGCTACTTAATGCTATTCTCAAATATCATAAGTACGTAACATGTAGTATGTTTTTTATTCGTAGATGCTAATGAATATAGAAGAATGTGTGCATTATTATTACATGGTTGTTTACGGAGTATCTCATCTGAAACATATTACGACACTCTATCGTTAGGACGATGTATAGAAGTGTATATGGAGCAAAATTACTGCATGCGGCTTTTCATTTGGTAGTTAAACAACATTTTGATTCAAATAATATTTTAGAAAAAAAAGTAGTTCTATTAATAATAAACCTTAAGTTAGTTTTGCTGTCAAAATAGTAAAAAATTCGAATACAATCCGTATATCACTCTTTTTAATTCAATATTTAAACAAAAAATGTATATTTAAAATTTGCTATCCATTTTGTTTTATATTTAAATACTTTCACTTTAAAAAAAACTGCTATAATTTAATTTCAGTAACAGCTGGTCAATGACCTATAATAGAATTATGTAATTAATATATAATTAACTATACATTAGATTAAATTGTGTTGTACACATTGACAAAAAATAAAAAACTTGGGTTGCTATAAGTAATTGTATATCTCTTTAAAGTTATAAAAATATAATCATATATTATCATATAAAAATTTAAATATTCTTATATGGTATTATTTTTTAGTTTGGGTGTTATAAGTAACCTAAGCATCCCCCTATTTGCACCTATCGGTACATACAATATAAATATTACTATTTAAAGCTTTTATTTTTTAGAACTTTTATGGCCGTGTATATTTATAAGTAGTGATGGACTACATCAATAAATTTGTAAAAAACAAAAACAGTCAAACCTGGGTTCCGGGGAAAATTATAATCGCTGGACCTCTATGCCAATAGGGAAAGACTCGAAAGGAAATAGATTTCTTTAATTAAAATTTTTTCTTATGTATATCTCTCCAAAAAACAAAACCCTAACTAAACTGCTATATGGGTCTTCCCCCGTGAAACGCAGGATCCGTGGCACGTGCCCTGACCTTGCGTCAGCACTGATTATATTCTAATGAGGACTGACTTTTATAATTATTAAAGTTAGTCTAAAAAAAAACATATATTGTGATTCATATATCTCTTTTTTTATCAATTATGCATACCGAAATTATGTATATTTAGTGACCTGAGAAAAAAACGATCCTAGCGTAATCCTATTAAAAATAACTGTTCTCAAAAAATTCATTTAAAAATCGTTGTTTATCTTATAAGCACTATGAAGTCCTTACGTTTGTTAATTAATGAACTAGTTTAAATATAAAAAAAATCAATATGCTTGCAAGATGGTTATATTTTTAAAAGCTATTCACTGAAAAATCAACTATTTCATTGTAAACGATTTTTCTTAAGTATATTTTAGATAACAGTCGATATTAAAAACAATACAATCCGTTTAACAAAAAAAAATATGTATTAAACAATACCAATATTTTTCTTAGCAGTTACTGCTTCAACTATTGTTACAATAGTGTAATTTCAGTATTGAATATTATATAAAACAAAAAAAAATTAATATCTCACTAGTGTGTAATAAACCTAAATTTTCACTAAAGACACTCTGTTTAAGATTTAGTTATCATAGAAAAGAAAGTATTCATAAAACTAATGTTGTCTATTTTGAACACGGTATTAGTGCGCAATAAAAATATCTGTATGGCATTAATCATAATGACATTTATCATACAAATAAGATTACATACAAGTGTGTAGAATTTAAAATCTACTATAGAAAACGTGTACAACAAGTTTAAACTAATAACCACGTCAAAAAATAGTGCCAAGAAAAAAATTAAAAAAATTATTTTAAATATATCCTTTAAAGTAGGAAGTATTTAGTTTACATTTGTTTGCATTCAAGATGAGTATTTTTTTTAGCACTTTAGATTTATAGAGACAGTAAAATATGTGATTAGTATTTTAAAAAAATTGTTAAAATTTATGCGAAATAACACCATACTGCATAATTATTGCTACTAAGCTAGTCAAAATAAGAGTCATGTAATACATTTAAAAAATTTACTTTAATAATATCCAAATTATTTTTATTTGAAAGAAGATAAGTAAAGGTAGTGCCATCGTGTGAAAATTTGCTGATTTTCCGGGGTCTTCAGGTCTTATTGTTATTTTTAAGGCTTTGAGCTTATACATTTCTATGTACTCATAAATTAAATAACTTTTTTTATTAAAAAAACATAACAAGACAAATTGTTTAATCATTTTTTTCAATTTAAATCATATTCAATATGATTTAGTTCAACAAAGGGATTAGGATCTTCAGAACGTTGTTATAAAAGAAAAACCTTTTTGACAATTTGAGGGGTTCCACTCCATCTGGCAATTAAAAGGTTTGCCAGTGCTTTGCAAAATCTAGCTACGATATTATGTATAGGCAACATAAAACGATACTAGTGATTTTTATATAGGAAAAATCAATGTAGCTGGAACACAAATCAAAATAAAAATTTATTGATATTTAACAAAGAAAATACAACTATTTTTTTACAATTTTTTTTTATAACCATTGTATTAATTTTTAACATTTTGTATTGAAATCTCGTTTGTAGCAGATAATATTTCATTTTAGAATAATAAATTTCAGGAAGTAAAAAACTTGTTCCATTGCTATCAGGTCAGAATTAATGTTTAATAATAAATTCTTGTAACAAGTAATGCAGGCGCTAAAAAGTACTGATTACGATTAATTATAAAATGAAATCCAATTTTTTTAGAATTCAATGTGGAACGCATGTCAGCATATTGATATTCCACAGATTTGTTTTGCAGAAGTCAATTCGAGTCCGGATAGTGTACGTGTGTTTTTAAAGCGGCACGAGTGTGCTGAATTACTTGTGTTTTACAGTGAAATGCAACTGAATCCGCATTTCTACCAGTACATTATTCACTCAGCAATAAAAAATATTGAAATATTAACGAATTGAAACATAATAATAACAATTGTCACCAATGGATAACGAAGAGCAGGACAAAAAAAGAAAACATATCATAATAACTAAAATAAAATGCCAGGCATGTCTTAGTGAGCGCGAGTTGAAGAAGTGAAACTGTGGCACCTGAACAGAATTAGTGTCAAGTATAATATATTTAATAAATAATAGTAACCACTTCCCTCTTAATATGTTTCGGAAACATCAGCGTCAAATGTAGACATGGTGAGAAACAAAGAATCATTAATGGGCTTAAAAGCTTCCGTCGTATGTACTTTTTACAAAATTACAAATTCAACACAAATTAATTTTTAATTACATAAGACATCAAGTGGAAATAAAAATAATCTATGTCTAATAAATATTACCAATACTTGATATTTCAGTTTTTGGCATAGTTGGGAGTATAAGTATAATAGAATTATTCTCCGAGTCAAAACACAAACAATTTTTGAGATGGCTAAAATAATCACGCAACATTTCAGGATTTAGTGGTGACCTTGAATTTATTTTATATAAGGGGGGGCTATACCAAAATATATCAATGATTTTTTACATAAAATGTTGACTTAGCAAGGCCAATAGGGAGTTTTTAACCATTTTAATCCTCCTTTGGTTACACCACTGTCAGGATCTAAATAGTTTATAATAAATAATGTTTTAAAAGCTATTGTACACATTTTAATATTTTAATGGTTTAAAATTACTATTTTTTTGGAACAATTATGCATGCACATATATAAGTCGTGACACAGAGGAGCAATTACTGCCGACATCATTATTTTAGGGGTCATAAAATTTGGAAATGATCTGTAATGTAATGTATTGGAAACATATTTCTCCCAATAGGTATAAATAGTAATCAAAATAAAAACTTTATTCGTGAAAAATAAAAACATACTATAAAAGAAATTAAATTTTTTTTTTAAATGATTAAGTTTTTTAATATTTTTATGTTTGTATTATATATTTTGGAGCGTGATGGACATACTAACTGTTGACAAAACTAATAATAAGTCACGCCTGCCGCTGTAGTGACAGATGGATGACAATACTTAAGTTTTACGGTGGCAAAAAGTACAATGTGTCCCAGTGCAAAGAGCAACGGAAAACCACTGCATTTATTCATTCCCTAGTAATACCAGTTCACCTTAAGAACTGGTATCCAATACCCGAAAACGGGTAGAAATTAAAAAAATAATAATTATATTTATTAACTGTTATAAATTATATTCATATTTAGTATACCAATTAATATTTATAATTTATTCAATTGGATTTTAACCTTAATAGTAGTATAGTTTAAAATATAACAAATAAAACAAAATTTTCTATTCTCACAAACTTACTTTATTTAAAGAAAGTGAGATTGGTTAATATGTATGGACGGATATTTTGTATAAAATTTGGGAGAGGGCTGAAAAAATAATATTTCTTGGATAGGTACAAAATATGTTTCTTCAGTACAGTCACACTTAAATTAGCAAATGGTCATAAAATAATTAAAGCGATAAGTAAAGTATCCCATTTATGCCAATGTTATGTCAAAAATTTTACGTACCTACCCTAATAACTCTCTTGGATGATAATATTCTCACTCAAGGTTGTAATTTTACAAAAATGAAATATATATTTTATAAAAGGCTACATCGAAAAATAAATGATGATAAAAATTAATACTTACCAACAAAACAATTTACTAGGTAGTTAAAAATATTGAAGCAATTATGGCCTTTTAATTTTTGTAAATTTTTACATCCTATTAATATTAAATATTAAATTAAATTAAGAGTAATTTTTTTAAGTAAACTGGAGTAAATATATTCTTCTCATTTAAGCTAGAATAAAATTTATATTATTAATAAGCTCTTGAAATGAAATATAGTATTTATTCATCTGTAATTCTCAAAGACATTTTCCCCCTCTTAAATTTTATAACGCTAATATATTTTAAAACACTTTGTTGTTTATAGATTGTTGTTGATGTTCTTTCCTGTAGGTTACTATTTTCTCAATCTCTAAAAATGTTGGTTAATATCTTTTACCATAATGATAAATAAACCACTTTAAGAATGATTAAAGCCTACAAAATATTTTAATACTATATAATATAAATCGAAAAAGACGACATTTCTAGAATTTTATAACTATAAACACATAAATGATTCATTTTTGATGGACCATATACATTGTGTATTGTATAAATGTGGTCTTAATGATCTCGTTTTGAAAGCATTCTTTTAAATCATAATGTTGACGCAATATTGTTTTTGTAGATATTTTGTAATATGTTAGGATCATTAACAAAGTTATTAATTTTTTTTTCATGGAAATCATTTATTATTTTTAAAACCATTTTAAATTAAATTTTATAATTTTTAATAGTATTTTATATTATAATTTTTTAAATATCGAGATAGAGTTAACATTAATAAGTCAGTTTTTAGTAAGAATTTTACTAAAAACTTTTATAATGATTTTAAAAATAAATTAGTTGTTAAGTTAGTGAATGTTAGTTGTTATGATAATATGAGGTATAATACAATGTGTTATACCTCAAATTATTACCGTAGGACTACGATGTACTGAAAAAACGAGTTTGCTAATCAAGTTTTAATCGGCTTCTATTTTTATACATTGTGGTTCTTGGTTATTATAAATTACGGTAATGAATGTATTAAAATAAAAAGTTTTTATGCAAACAAATTTAACTAAATAAATAATAATTTTCAGAGGTTGAATGGAATCTAATTAATGTATTTAAATATAAAACTACATTATAAATAGCACTTTTTTAAAAGTATAAATATGATCACTGCATAATAAATCAAAATATTAGCACGAGTTATAAATTTATACTTCTCTCAACGTGACATAAATTAGGTCATTTAATATATTTTTTATTAATGCATTAAACCTTTGATTGAGCTATTTCAAAAACATTATGGAAAGTATAAAATATTTTTAATTCAGAATATTTGTAAGAATAATAACTCTTACGAAAATAGAAAAGTTTCTTATTATAATTAAATTAGAAAGATATAGAATTATGTTAAAATTTCAACGCCTTAAAAAATAACAGAGTTTTTATGATCTTAATAGAGCATTATTATTATACTTCTGTTATTTTAATTTTAATATATTGTGATTAATTATTTATAATTGAGAATAAACCATTTATTTCACACTTAAGTGAAAATGAGTTAGCTACGCTAGCACATGTAAAATTAATGGGATTCGAATGGCGAACTTACACTTTCAATTGAAATGCACTAATCAAATAATAAAAAAATCATTATAGATTCTATACATTTTAGAGGAAACTGTTTTTTGATCTGATGTAAAATTTACAAAAATGAAATGCATGATGTTGCTTTTTAAGCGATGTGAATAATAATTATTCACATTTAATTACTCTTAAAAAACTATTATTTGTGCCAGAGAGTACAGTTTACATAGGTTAGTAAACAGAATATAACTTCAAGATTTACGCACAATAGTCTAAAATTGAAAAAACAGTGATGGCTTGTGGGTGCAACTTTAAATATAATACCGCTAGTTAAAGGTGTAAAAAATTGTCAAATTAAATATAATAAAATAAAACATATATTATTATTTTAAAAGTCATAGTAGAAAATAGAAATGAAAATAATAATAATAGCGATTATACTATTATAGCAACCGTTAACGACGAACGTACACGCAGTTAATTTTAAAAATAAATTACTAATATAGTAATATACTAATATTTTACCGTATGGACGAACAACGCTGCCGGTCGTTTAAAACCCATACATAAGATTTCAGCTGAACCGCACCCGCACGCACACGATTGAGTGCCTTGTTTATAATATATGTTTCAGAATATTGTTTGGACGAAGCTGTCTGTCGTCCAAACACTGCTCATGTGTACTTGCGTACTTGCATGTACTGAAGGAAACAACTTTAATGTTATTTAAAAATAGTAAAAAATTCTTCCTGTGGGTTTAGTCAGCCATTATGACCATCCCGTCAAACATCCAATCTTTCTATCTTCTCTGTCAGCTGCTCTTACTATCTAATCTGGTCTTTCATTTAGAGATTCTACGTTACTTTTCACCATGTCTTCCCATCTTAGTCATGGTTGTTTGAGAGGCCTTTTTCCATCTAGATTGTCTGACATTACCATGTGTAATAGTGGGTTTTAATTACGCCAGGCATGCCCAGTCCACTCTAATCTTCTACTCTGAATTGTATCTAATATGTTGGGTTTCTTAAAGAGTTCCACTAATTTTTATTTTTTTGTATTCTCAAATCGGTGGTTTCTTGGTCTGGATACTTTTCTGTACTGTCGTTTCTCCTCAAGCCATATACTCTGGTTTTTCTTCATTTATTTTAAAACCAAATTTCTTCACTGCTTCTTTTAGTTGGTTAATTAGTGTTTTAAAGCCATTGTGCGATTTATACACAAGGACCAAATCGTTCGTATATGCCAACAGTTCCATGTACTCATATAATTGTATTTCTTCTTGAGCTCTAATATTAGTCTCTCTAATCAATTTTCCTAACATTATTTTAAATAGAACGGGTGACATAAAGTCCCCCTGTCGTAGACCTGGATGCACTGGTATTAGGTCAATTTCAACTTCTCCCACTTTTATTTTAATTTATGTTTCTATAATGCTAGTCTCGATCAACTTCACTAATTTTTGAGGAATTATAACCTCTTAAAGAATATTTATCAGGCTAATACAATGGCTACTATTGTATGCCTTCTAAAAATCAATAAAGAGAATATGTACTTTTTTATCGAACTCCCACATCTTTTGGACTAATTGTCTGACAATAAATATCTGGTCCATCGTAGATCTTCTTGATCTAAATCCTCCTTGATAATCACCAATTATTTGATCGGACTACTTTTTAACATTGAATACATACAGTTTGTAAAAACTTTGTATACTACACTCAGGAGAGCAATTACTCGATAGTTATTACAATTTTGTTTGTCCCCTTTCTTATATAATGGACATAGTACTGACGTCATCCAATCTTCCTGTAGTTATCGGTTGTCTAATTTAGGTTAATTAATATCCATTACCTAAACATCATTTCTTTTCCTAATTTTTAAAAAGTTCTGCGTGGATTTAATCCTTATCAGGTGATTTATGATTTATTAACCTACTAAACTTTTACTTGTACAGATAGCGCTGTATATCGTAAAGTATTTATAGAGAAACATTTCATAATCACTGATAATGTATTTGATATCAGTACATTTAATCAGTGTTCTTATACAATATTATCAAATTGGAAAAATTTGAATTGGTATGACTGCAATTTTAGTAATATTATCAATCAAAACAAAATTATTGATAAATTGATAGTATCCAAATAATAATAACATTTTTAATGAAGGGAGTTGAAATTTGATTTCAAAGTTCAATTTTAATAATTTTCCATTACATTTTATTTTGTATATATTATAAAACATATTGGTTTATACGATTATAATACAATGAATCTATTGACTTCTTATATGTAATGGTATAAATGGAACAAATTAAAGGGCCGACGTCAACTAATTCAAATCCTACGGATAATAAAAATGATGATAAAGAAAATAAATTAAATTCGTTGAAAGAAGTACCTAAGAGGAGTTTTATACAGATAAAGGAATCATTCAGAACATTGAAAAATGCTAATAGACAATCAGTTGTGGCCAAAGGTAAAATTATTGATGTTTTTATATTTTCAGTATTATAGTAAAATAAACAACTGAGTTGCTTAAATAATACAACAAAAATACTTTTTTTGACCTTTTCATAAGTAGATACATCTTTAATAATCTTTTTTGAAATCTTATAGTTAAATTAAAACAATGATAATTTAATTGTATAATATTGTATGATAATTTATGTATAATAATTGTAGAAGTTAATTGATAAAATGTAATTACTTTTCGGGCATTATTATAAAATACCTAATAATTAATTTTATATAGTCTTATGTAAGAATATGTCTAACATCATTTATATTATTATTAATATCATGGTTTCTCGGTATAAATTAACAAAATTTAGTAATGAGTTTTGTATAATTTACACATTTAACTTAATTTACAATATGAAACTTTTGTATGTTTGTAAATTGTTAATTTAATAAAATACTTTCTATTGTTCAAAATTTTTAAATTTGATATTTATATCTTTACCTAATTAACTACTATATTTACTATGTACTATTTTTTGTATTTTAATACCTGTATCATTATAATATATTTATATGTGTTTTATGGAACATAATTTTTAATTCAAACTCAAAATTAATGTATTGTGAAATTTTAAAATTGTTTACGGATATATCTTACTGTAAAGTTTTGTTGTTGAGCAAGCTTACCAAAAAGGTGTGTAAAACAAAAAATCTGAAAAAATAACACTTGAATCATATTATAAATAAAATGTTTGAATTATAATTTAAAACTCAATAAAAGAAGATATTAAATATTTTTCTAAAATTTGTTTATAATTTAGTAAGATACATTTTGAGTAAAATATTTTTTATTATACTATTACTTTTAATATATACCAATTATAAGTGTAACATTAAATTCTATAAAAACATATGAATGATTTGGGGAAAAGCTTGTAAAAAACATTTTCAACATTTTAATTTTACTCTTTTGAGTAAACAATTTTTATTATATGATATATGTATATATAATTATTAAGTATATTATCTTAATAAGTACATTGATAAATAGTTTTTATTTTGAACAATTAGTATAATCATAAAATTTCACAACTTGCATTTTTCATTATTGCATTGTACATTTTTTAATTAAAAAAATATATAAAATTATTCTTTAATAAATTTGGAATTTAAAAAAAAAAAAATTTTATAAAATTTTCTTGGGAATATTGAATAATCTATGATCATAGTTTTTAGTAATTTAATATATTTTTTTTATAAATTATTTATTTCTTGTACTTTATTCTTTAGATGTTATTTTGGACTAGCTATATTCTTAATTTTATATTTTTAAACATAATATAAATTATGAAAACATTATTTATAATTTAAGGGATGTAATGATTTGTTAAATTTTATTATCGATATTTAGCTATCAACTATTTTTTGACTGTAATGTGTATAATCTTATGATTTATTTAAGTTTATACTAAAAAAGAAATTGAGAAGTCATGATTTTTTGTTTGTGTCTAATGATTTTATGTTTTGTTATTTTCTTCTATAATCGTTTCTGGCATGTTTGATAAACTATGATAACATAACATATTGACATCATTCATTACTATTATTAATTTGCTACTTCTTATATATATATATATATATATATATATATTTTTTTTTTAATAATTATAAGTATAGCATTATAAACATAGTTAGTACTCATTTAAATCATAAATAGACGTCTTGGTATTAAATTAAAATTTTGCCTAATATTAATTAATATATTTTCATTTAAACGCATAACTCTAGTAATAACGAAATAAGACTTATATTGTTATGATGCGATATAGTGTGATTTTCTGAATGAAATATTCTAAAAAAGATATTTTTTAATATAATTTTCGAGTAATCGTTATAAAAAATAATAAATGTACATGCACTAAAAGTTACCACTTTTGTTGTATTTGATTAAAAAAATATATTAATTTCTTATGTCGGGTGCAATAAAAGTTATTTCTTTTGACTAACACAAGTTAATACAATATACTTGTATAATATAATACAATATACAATAATGTTACTCGTATTTTACTTATATTATGAGAAACATAAGACTTAAAATATAATTGACGTGGTAAATATATACACAACTTTCTTGTCGTGTTACTGTACAGACTGAGTTATATTGATTAATCCTCGGCCGGGTGGTTTAGCCATACTCAGTCAACCCTTACCCTGCCGTGCGCTTGTCATCGAGTTTGATACAAACTAGTAGGTGTTTAAGAAACATTCTCGCGATTTCAAGAAAGTAATTCGAAACACGTAGTAAAATATAAATAATTAGGTAATCATGCAAACTCTTAGAAGAAAAACAAGTCCATTCAAATGTGAGTTTTTAATGTACAAAAATATGTTTCATTTTATTATTTGTAATTGAATTAAATTTAATATTATTGTCGTCGTTTGTACAATTTAAACGTTTTTAACAAAATAAGAAAACAAAATAGAATTGCGAGAATAATTAAATTATTTTATTTGATGTATATTTGTTCTAATATTTATTTCAAGTAACTTATTTATTATTGTATTTTCTAGCTGAAAAAGGTGGTGCTATTCGTTTCATGGGAGATGGTGTTAGTTTTAAGGCTAAACTTATTGGTATCTTAGAAGTTAGTGAAGCCAGGGGAGATAGAATGTGTCAAGAAGCATTATTTGATTTAAAAGTGGCTATTAGAGCAGCTGGAGAGCATAAGCAGCGTATTACAATAAATGTTGCTATTGATGGATTAAAATTAAGAGATGAAAAAACTGGGGTAAATTACTGAGTTTTCTAGTCATCAGAAATTATTTTAAAATTATTTTTTACCTATTATAGGATTGTTTGTACCACCATCCAATTCACAAAATATCATTTATAGCTCAAGATATGGTTGATTCAAGAGCATTTGGATACATTTTTGGATCACCAGATACTGGTCATAGATTTTTTGGTATTAAAACGGATAAAGCTGCTAGTCAAGTAATTATTTTAATGCAATTTTTGCATCATTTAAATAAAATATTTTATTAAGCTCATGTTAAGGGTTTGAAATTAGTGAATGATAAAATAAAATTTAATAAAAAATATAACTATTTTTACTGTGTAAAAAAAGTTGATGTCATTTTTTATGTTCTGTGATATTCTCTATTTCTTTTGCTCATATTATATTTTGGAGAAATACAGCTAAAAATTTTAAGATACTGCCCCAGACAACAGTTTTTTATGTGTTAGCTCATAGTTTTTTCTCTTGAAATAATTTTTTTATTTTGTATGCTAAAAAAGTAGTTTTATCTAAATAACTTATAGAAAGGTTTAAAGACTAAGGTTTTGTATTTGCCAAAAAATTAAAGATTTATACAAAAAGATGTTGACTAACCTGTGTATAAGAAATAATTTCAAGTAAATAATAAATACTTTAGTATGTTAAAAATTTGATTTTTCAGTACCAAATTAAATTTCATAAGTTCTTATTGAATTTTAAAAAATGTATTTACAAAATAGTAATAAAGAATTGTTGTTAAAAATTTGAGAAATACTTAAGTATTTAATTAACTTCTAGGTTGTTGTAACAATGAGAGATCTTTTTCAAACAGTTTTTGAATTAAAAAAACAAGAAATAGAAATGACGAGACAACAGCAAATTATGAAAGGAAGTGGACTATATTTAGAAGCTCTTTCTCATACAACGTCAAAAGTAGATCATGTAAATTATTTATACATATTATAACAAATAATTGATTATTATTCTTCTGATAAATATTTACATTTTTATTGCATATTTTAATTAGTTTTTCTTTTAGATTGGAAATGATGACAAAAGATTTAATCGAGAGTCTTCATACTCAGATAAATTAGATTTGAAGAATTCAACACCAAATGCTAATGATCTTCTGAACTTGGAACTAGAACTGAATAATTTACAGCAAGGATTGTCTCAAATGGAAAGTATCACACCTCCATCATCTGACCCTTTTGGTGATTCTTTTACATCGCTTCCAGCAGTTGCACTTACTAAATTACCTCCTCCACCCAGTACGGGTGAACGTAGAGCTCGTAATAACACTATCTCTAATGACCAAGAGGAAATGCATTGGTTTGATAAGGAAACAGAAAGTATCTTCAGCCTTACAAATTCTAGTGAAGTTCGCGAATCACTTAAAACAGCTGATTTTAAGGTTAGAATACATTTTTAAGCTTTTTTGTTTTATAAAATAATAATTTATTCCTATTATTTGCTTACAGATAAATGATTTATCAACTAGTAATCATAGTCCTCCAAAAATAGATTCATTTGATGTATTCACTGAATTAGATCCATTGGGTACTGGTCGTAGTAAACCTTATGTGGATAAAAAAGACTTTTTCCAAGAACTTAAAAACCCTCCTAAAAAAATTTTAAATCAATTAGTCATGCCTGAAAATGATAAAACTACAGAACTATCTCAAAGTCTTCCACCTAAAATGATGAGTAACTCATTTTCTTCTGATTTGTCATTTAAAGATACACAAGGGTTTGTTGAAGATCCATTTAAAATAGATCCTTTTAACAATAATAATAATATTAATAAGTCAAATGATTCAAATTCAATTGAAATAGAATTTGCCGACTTTTCATCATTCGATTCTTTAAAACCGGTATCCCCTAAGCTTAAACAAAAAACTCCACTTATGCAAAGTGATAGCTCTTCATCACAAAATTCTATTCAAGGTCTACTTAGAGTCTCACTTCCATCAGAATCTCAAAAATCATACAATGTGTCCACTTCGCCCAAGTATACTTTAATATATAAAAATAAATCGAAATTAAAATCAAGAAAAACGCCAAGTCCTGAATATTACAAAAAGGAAGAACCTACGTCACCAGATGATGATTATTCTGTTATGAAATTGATGACGTTACCTCAACGAATTGACATTGCTCCTGAACCTCCACCACGACCTTCATCTTCAATGGAACCTCCACCATTGCCTCCCAAGAAACAGCAAGTACCTATTAAAAATACTAAGCCGACAAGATCGCGTAACGATCATTACGATTACATAGAAAATTATGTTAGTTCCTATAATATAACATCTACACAACAAGAAAACGAAGCGCCGCCTTTACCTTTGCCATCTAGAAAACCAAAAAATGAAATTAAAAAAAAAATTGAAGAAGAACTCGATTCTGAGTACTATCTTATGCCAGTTAATACTAAAAAATCCACTTCTACTGTAAATAATAATGAACCAAATTCCAATGAATTGAAGTCATCTGTTCCTACGTCCCTTGATATTACTCTAAGTCAATTAACGAAAACAGGGTTTAGTGATTTGGCTGATACTTTAAAAATATCTCCAAATTCTCTTTCTAAAATGACTCTTCAGGAATTGACGTTGCGATTATCTGAATTAACTACTAAAGATACAGAGGAGTTGCCACAGGTTGATCCTAAAAAGACTGACGAAGAAAAAAAAGAACGAGAAAAATCGTTATATGACAAATACGCGGTATTCAGGGAATTACTTGATGAGGAGAAAACGTCTGAGATTGTTAGAGATGAAGAAAATGATAAATACGCTGCTCTAAGAAATATTGATTCTACTGAAGAACCAACATCCGAAGAAAAACAACAAATAAATGTGATTAGTAATGAAAAATTAACTTTTGAACATAATTCAAATGTTATTTCATTAAATCGTGAAGATAGTGAATCAAATTTTGAGAACAATATGAATAATGATGTAGTAGACGAAGCTGTTGAAGATGAAATACACAGTAAAATTACCAAGGTAGGCGTTGAAATATTAAACGAAATTACAAACAAAAAAGAAGATGCAGTTAAAAACGTTGAAATACAGAAAGACAATATGAAAATTGAGAACTTGATTAAACAAGAGGAGAAACAATATGTTATTGAATGTCAAAAGGAAGTTTTAGAAAATGTATTAAAAGAACCATCATGTTTGAAGGAAGAAGTATTACAACCCAAGTCAATTGATAGTATACATTGTTGGGCCACCTTTGATGCTGAATCAACGGAAAATGCTATGAAAAAGGCTACCTCACCTTGGGTTTCAGATGATCATGAACCAATGCCAAAACCCAAAATGCATGTGAGAAAAATTGGTTCAAATCTTAGCAAATGTTCGTCTAGTTGGGATGACTGTGAAGAGTCTGAAGACAATTGGGATACACCTAAAAGAAGTTTAGATAGTTCAATGGAAGATTTTTCGTCGAAAAACGGTTGGAGTGATGGCGAATCTATGTATGAGGACGAGCCATATTATGACAGACGACCTAACAGAAGAAACAATCGTAAGATATCACCTAGACTTAGAGAACCATCTCCGTGGGACGACGAAAACATGTATAGTGGTGAATGGGAGTCACCATATATGTTTCCACCTCATTGGAGAATACCTTCTCATATCGATGACGAGCGTAGACGAACTAAGGACGACAAACGACGAATATATGCACGACCTGATATAGATAGAAGGATTCAAAAGATGGGATCAGCCCCAAATTGGGAAGACGAAAAGTATCAAAGATTAATGTATGAAAGGAGAAGAAGATTCTTAGAAGAGCAATACAGTTGGGATCGTTACGGACCGCCAATGCCGCCTATGAGCTATCCAAAAAGTTACCCAAGACCTTCGGTAGATAATAGCGATGAAGAGGATTTGAAAATGCGGTATAGGTTACCTAAAAAAAGTCGATATGTATCAACCACTACACCTAGAAAACCTCGTCGATTATATCATCGACGAAGCGAAGGGAGTGATGAAGAACGCAATGTTGTACAGTCCCGTAAACCATATAGTCAAGAAGATTTGGATTTTAGTGAATCTGAGATAGAACAAAACTGGCCAAAAAAAACAAAACATAAAATGTGGCCATCAAAACGTAATCAAACTTCACCTTTTGATGATAATTTTACGAACGAAAGTCCAGATTCTTCTTCCGTATTTGCCAAAACAACCAGTACTTGTTCTGATTTGGGTTATTTAACAAAACCATCACCTTCGACTAGTTCAAAAACAACTAACAGGGTACCATCAACGAGGAAACCAAAACGATCTGATAGTGGGCAGCGTTCAGTAGATTCTTCTAACTCAAAAGGGGATATTTATGCGACATCAAAACATTCACCGTTTGAAGATGATTTTACACCCCCCGACGCTATTGAAGCAAAAGGAAGTGTTTCTAGTGAATTTAGCTTTAAGGATGACGATGTGTTCGCAGGTAAAAAGAGCGACAAGGTAGTTCAAGAAGAAAATGTTGCAACCGATGGAATAAAAAAATCAGATTCTATTAATATATTTTCAAGAAATGCTGATCCATTCGAGGATGATGACTTCTTTAACCAAGAAGTAACAAATAAACAAAGAATGTCTGCTTCAAGTGAAGTTTCATCTGCTCACGAAACTGAGAACAGAAATAAAAGACCAGACCGGACTAAAAAAGAATGAGACTATCAAAATGTGGTCCAATCCAAATCCATGGGGACCACTAGAAAATTTAGGAAAGTTTTTAAGAAAGTAAATAAATTTATGAACAAACTTTTTTAATCAACAATTTTATATTATGTAAATTTTGAGCAATGGACAAATTATACACAGCGTAACATAAATTAATATTTTTTTTAGCTGTGATAAGTTTCCTCGTGTTTAAATACAATCACTTTTTTTCAAATAGCATTATTATTTGCTGTATATTTTAATATCAATGACTATGTAACTTTATATTTATTTTCGCAGAACTACTTCATTCTCTCTATTTCTGTTAACATGAAATCTCATTAAATTTTTTATATGTAAATTTGTGTTTGTATGGACTATTTTGTGAATAATTTCACAAGTGATATATTTCCATATGTGCAATACAAATTAATTTGTTTTTTTTTAGTCTGCATTGTTATATATTTTTTTTCATATTGCTCTATTTATGTTTTAACATTCTTTTGTGAAAAATGATTATTGTACTACCCTATCAGGATTACCCATCCATTAATTTTAAATACTTAAAAGGTGTACTTAATATTTAGCTAATATTACGAACATATAGTTAATGTAATTTTTCAAGTATAAAATGTTCCTTTTTAAACATGCATTTTATGGACTTTGACCACCTATTATGCGGTTTAAAACTATAGCCATTACACTACATGTAAAAATCTAAAATTATCGAAGTTTTAAAACATATTTTAATAAATATCTAGCAAAAACATAAAGTTGGTTTAAAATATGGTTGGCTGATAAAATACAAAAAACAAACTTCTATAATTAAAAAATTTAGTGCCATAAATTATTTTAAACATAAAACTACAAGATTTTTAAAAATCTTAATTTTTTTTAGATGTAACTTATATGTCCTACACATATCATGAATATCTCATGTAGTGTAAAAAATATTTGTACTATTTATGTTATGTTTGAATTATTTTTATGATTTAAATAATAATTTCTCATGAAATTAACTTATTTTGTTTATAAAAACCGAATAATGTTTATCAAACAGCAGCTTTAAAAACTACTTAATATTTGTTTATTTAAAAAATCGTTAAAACCATTATAATTATTTTTTATATTTTAGTTTAGATTTATATTATTAATGTATCTCATTTAAAATTTTTACAATTATTGTGTAAGCACTTCTGACTTATTGTGTTTTTGTTCAATGAAATAATTTTAATAGAGAAAATTATTGATGTTTTTAAAAAAATAAATGTTATGGCATAGAGTGCCATTTTACCAAGTTTATTTCATTATTAATTAAGTTTTAAGTTATCCTAATTGATTTATTTCGCTGTGTTAATGTGATAGGGGAGACTGGGGCAACTATGGTCAGTGGATAATACTGGTCACCTCATTATCTAATAAACCCATGCATCTAAAATTATGTTAATCATATGTATAAATTAAGAATGATAAAGAAACCTTATTCTTATTAGAACAATATTATCAAAAAACGTTTTCATGTTTAAATGTGTAAAAATAGTTTTCAGCGTTTATTTATCTAAAAAAAATTTTTTTAAGAAATTTAATTTAAGGAAAGCAAATTTTTATATATTTATAATTTATATGAACTATATTTCAGTGATTTTTTTTAAATTAGTTTTTTCTCCATCTTTTTGCAAGTATATATGAATGCCCGATATTCCCCCGGGGTAAGGGGAATATCGGTCATTTGCATTAAAAAAAAAATATATATATATAAGATTATGTTTTAAAAATCTGAGACTTTGACATAATGCAGTCAATATGTTTATGCATTCATTTGTTGTAATAGCGTAACATTGAGAGTCTTAGAACCAGAGATATAACAATTTTTGCTAAGGTGACCGTAGTTCCCCCAGTCTCACCTATCATTAAAATAATTTATTAAATAAAGTAAAATTATTTGTCAGAACCATAATTTAACGTCTAGGATATATAGAACAAATACTCCCCTTAAGTTTGAAGTTACTTCTATAAATGATTTAACTATATATATATCATAGGCATTATTAAACATAACAATATAGTCGATGATATAGTCCACTGAGTAGTTTATCAAAGTATTTAGTTACTTTTTACCAGTTAATGAGATTATAAACTTGTAATACAAAAAAATTAATTTCAATTTTCCTTATGCGAGTTTCTTTACTATTCCAACAATTATTTTTTTGTTGAAAATTAAAAATTTGTACATGTTTTAAAAATGTCATTACTCTTCTTATAATGTTTATAACGCGTCTAGCTTCTGTGCGTAGTAGTGGTCTAAAATAAAAAAAAAAAAAACGGTAGCACAGTGGGGTCGAGGCACAGTGTGGACGAGGCATAGATGGGACAAGTATAGATGATATCTGACAGTGATTAAAATCACTATCATAAGAAACGCTTCGATGCAAATCTGTAGATAGTGTTTCCTTTAGAGAAATTGGTGAAATATTTTAAAAGCAACATGAACTCTTATTTCTTTAATTATATCCTGATTAGTAGTTCTTTGATTTTAAANCAAAAATCATATTTTATATTTATATTTAAGGATATTGGTGTTTTTAAAATTAAAACATATTTTGAAATGACACATGAATTTTTACATTTTTGTGGTTGAATAATTTTAATTTGATAGTAGTTTTATTTATATTAATCTATTTAATATTTAAAATTCAGTTAAAGCCGTTTTTCGGGAAAAAGGCAGTGTCTTTTTAAAATAAAATTAATTTTTTAGGTCACATTAATTTTATTTTAAAAATATTTAAAGTATAAATTAGAGTTACTTTTATCCCATTCAATTGTATTATAATTATTAATATTAGATCAAATGTATTATATAAATAGTTAAACATTTAATAATTGAGTTAAAAAAAGTTATGTTGAAAATTACAATAACATGTATTTATTTCGATTATTTTAGTATATGGGAATAAATTTACAACAATAAATTATACTTAGTAATACACTTTAGTATATAGAGAATATATCCTCATAAAAAATTTAAATTTTCTAAGGTAATAAAATATGACATTTGGTCACCTTCTTTTCGGTGGCGGCTCGTGGCTTGCACAACATGACGATTGCACCCCTACTAAAATTAATTAAAAGAAGAAAATTAATAGTTTATTCTTATTTCTACATTTTTATTAAAAATTCAAATTTTTAAATAGTAAAATAGTTATAATACATTTGTCGTGTACGAACATTAAAGTTGTTTCCTTCAGTACATGCAAGTACGCAATTACACATGAGCAGTGTTTGGACGACAGACAGCTTCGTCCAAACAATATTCTGAAACATATATTATAAACAAGGCACTCAATCGTGTGCGTGCGGGTGCGGTTCAGCTGAAATCTTATGTATGGGTTTTAAACGACCGGCAGCGTTGTTCGTCCATACGGTAAAATATTAGTATATTACTATATTAGTAATTTATTTTTAAAATTAACTGCGTGTACGTTCGTCGTTAACGGTTGCTATAATAGTATAATCGCTATTATTATTATTTTCATTTCTATTTTCTACTATGACCTTTAAAATAATAATATATGTTTTATTTTATTATATTTAATTTGACAATTTTTTATACCTTTAACTAGCGGTATTATATTTAAAGTCATAACCCCACCACCAGCACCCACCATTCATCACTACATGGAATATATTATGTAATTCAGATGTGATATTCTAATTTTTCGTTATAATGTAATCCAACAATTTTACATTAATGTTCTACTTTATAAAATCGAGGAAATGTCACTAACAGAATTAAGTACTTATTATGTAAAAGCTGGAGGAATTTAGCAGTTCATAGATGCACACAATTCAAAATAAACAGACCTGTTTTTCTCCTCTCTACAAAATATAAAAATGCTAACATCTTTTGAAATATTAGGCAAAAGTTGTTATTGACCCAATCATTTTCTCATTTTTAAGATAATTAATCATATATTTCCATTTAAAAATCATAAGTTGATACTACATTAAAGGGGTGAGAGAGAGTAGAACCATTTTTTTTTAAGAATATTAGAACATAAGATACTATTAATTTTTAAAAAGAAGAATATATAATATATTTTTAAAGATATTATAAATATTATACTAAGTTTTGTAAAAAAATGTTTGGTGTTTTAAAGTTTTGTTAAATAGTGAAAATCTAAAAATTATTTCTGCACCACCTTTAAGTTTACCAACAAAAACTATATTAGTGGTCTTAATTACCACTGCTGTAATAACTAGACTGCCTTTCCAGTTGTTATAGCAGGTGTGATGTCCTTACTGTATGTCCTCTTATAATTTTACTTTAATGTGAAGTCTCTTAGCTTCATATTAAAACTTGAATTTCTATTGTAATTTCTTAATTTTTATTAAAAATCTAAAAATAAAGATATCAATAAAATATGCAATTTATTTTTTATGTGATTTATAAACAAAATTCATCATTCAAAATAGTAGGTGATTCAGTTTTTAAGCACATTTTTCTAAATCTATTGCTGTTCATTAAAATTTTACGATAAATTAGATATTAATATCTATCAATATATTTGATAATTATTAATTTTAGAAAAATAATTTAGTAATGTAACAAAAACTAAACATGTATCGTAATATTTCGAATTATCCAGGAAAACAAATTAAAATTTATTATATTTTATTATAGTGAAAGCATTTGTTATACTATAGACTTTTTATTAACTGTGATGTTCCTAGTCAAATAGAAACAAATAATTCATAGTTTCTTCATTCTTGTATTAATACAAGAAATTTTTTAGATAATTATTTAAAAAATATATATTAATACAAAATTTGCTATTTTGTATTTTTTAAGATTTTTTTTATAATTATTCTTACATATTTATGTATTTTATAAAATAAAAAAAAAAATTAACATTAAAACATTTTTTTATTCACAACTTTTATGAGTTTAAACAATGTTTATCAGCTGTATATGGGTTTAGTTAATAAAAAATTTGGCTGAAATCATTAAAAATATTTAGATATACATTACACGATCATAAAACTCGCAACCAACACACCAAAAAATTAAAATAGAGATCCTTAAACCTATATACATAGTAGCCAGTTTTGATTAATTTATTTTCATTATATATAATATATGAGTAATTTAACATAAATATATTTCACACATTAATTTCGAACATTTTTAAACAGAATAATTTTTATCATAGAGATAATATTATAATTATGTTTATATACTTATGATATCAAATATAAATATTTTGGCATAAGATATAATTAAAAAATATGTAATATTTTAAGTTTCTATGATAATTCATGCCTAAAAATTGTATAAAAAAATAATGGAAAAATAAATATTCGTAAAATGTAATTTGTTTAGTATAGTATAAAACTTAAAGTATAAGCTAAAATTAATAATAGTATAATAAAAAAATGTATTGTGATTTATGAATTAGATGAACCAAAACAATTATATAAAAAATAACATATAGGATTACCTAAATATTTGGTACATGTTCAGTTCAAATAAATTACAATAAACAATTAATTGTTGAAAAAATAAAATAATTTATAACATTAAAAATTATAATGAAAATATTTGTATAAAATAATTTATGATTAAATATAAACATTAAGTTCATTGTTAAAATAAAACATATAATGATTGGAACAAATACATTAAAAATATTGCTAAAATGCTTGAATAATAATTTATTGTGATGTATTTAAAACAACACAAGAAGCGATAATGAATTTAAATATTATATTTATAAAATAAGTAGGTAATAATTATATTTTTTTGAATATTATAAATTAACCGTAGTATTTAGCTAGATTCCTTTTTTTCTTCTTTTTCTTTAGCTGAAAAATCAATAAATTTATTTATTAAGCAAAGTTTACAAAAATGTTACAATAATATATAATAAGATATCAAAAAATTAAGACAGTACAAATATAAAAATATTTTAAAAGAATTTTAACTAATAAATGTAAGGAAAAAAATCTACTGAAATTTGAAATTATTGCCATTTATTCAGCTAAGCCATATTACTACATATAAATAGTTATTTAAACATACTTGTAGGACTAGTAACTTCTGGTGTAGAAGTACCATTAGCAGAATCATCCTCTTTCTTTTCTTTTTCTTTATCGGAATTCTTTGATTTGCTTTTTATTGGAGTTGCTGGTTTAGGTTTTGGTTCTAAACTTGGATCCAATACAATTTTTCCAATATTTTTTCTGTCGTGCATTTTCTGCATAGCTTCACCAACCTATAGATTTATATTGAACAGTACAATTTAAAATAATATTCTTTAAGAGTAAGCTATAAATTTAATCAAACATAGAAATTTAATTGAAAAATTAATACTTTTTAAAAATAAATAAATCATATTACTAATATACTTACATCTTCAAATGCCCAAGTAGAATCAACAACTGGTTTAATTTTACCATTTTTCCATAAATCAACAACTTTATCGAAAATATTTGCGACATATGTAGATTGACTTTGATGGAACAATAATCTCCTCAAATTAAATCCTATTAGTGTTTTATTGTCATCAAATAATTTCAATGGTGAAATTTTATCAACTTGCCACCACTTAAATAAGAAAATAAATTATTAGTTTGATTAAAAAAATTTTTTCTATACTATACTTACAGATTTTGCTGCACTGAAAAAGCTCTTTGTTTCTCCTGTGACAATATTAGATGATCCTATTTCAAATAAAATATTATCTTACAATACATTCTACATTGAGTTTTTATTTAAATATTTAAAAACACTAAAAGATTACCATAAAGAATATATTTTCCCATAGGCTTTAATAAGGAATATCCACGGCTGCACTCCTCACCACAAACACAATCTAAAAATAGATCAACTCCTTCTGGGGAAACTCTAAAATATTTAAAATTTGTTTAAAAAATCTAACCAACATAAAAGAAAAAAATTTACTTTCGAACTTCAGAAGTATAGTCACTTCCACGCTCTAAAAGATGATCAATTGTGTCTTTTAGTGCTTCATGCTTTGTTTTGGATGCAACACCAAAAACAGTAACATTTTCTACTGTTTTACTGAGTTGAACAACAGCTTGACCCTAAAAATAATATTACTGATTATTAAATATATGTCATAATATATTAATTTTTTAAACAGATATATGTTATATCTGAAAAACATGAGAGTATATGGAGAAAGGATGGAATAACCCTTACATTTGACGTGCTTTCCAGAATTTACAGAAAATTATATGAAATTACAATTATTACACGATCAATGATAAAATGTTTACTATTCAAAATTTTTTTTAATATCATCTTAAATTTTATCTAATAAACAATAATAAAAATATTATATACATTATTTGAAGAATGAATATGTCAAACGTTCTATGTGCCAAAAACATATTTGCTCAGAAAACACAAAAAACAATGGTAACATGGGCATGTCTCACACAACAAACACCATCTATGAATGCAATTTTGTACAAGTAAAAAATTTAATTGACATTTGAAACACATAAAAGATTGTGGCCTTTGGCACATAGAACATAAATCAGAAATAAAACAATTTTTCACTTTTTTCATGTTTGACACATTCACTCTTCATTTAGAGAACATTACGATAAAATGATTAATCAGATTTGTTAAATTTAGTTTTTCATTTTAAAATTACTCTAAAAAAGAAAATTGATGTTAGGAAATAGAATTAAATACTTACCACTCCTCCGCCAGCTGAATGTAGAATTAGATTGCTACCAGGCTTAATGGCACCTAATTCAAATAGTAGGACATAGGCAACTATGTAGTTGGTGGCCAAGGCTGTGGCATCAATAAAAGTTAAGTTATCCGGTATGCCAAACACATTTTTGGCTGGAACAGACACCAATTCGGACCAAGCTCGCCACTCAGGTAAAGCGACTACACGATCTCCAACCTACACCACATTATAAAATTTTTTTTATAAAATGTATATTTTTTCAGAACCCTGATCTATTTCGCAATAATTTGCTAGGAAGAAAAATATGTAATTGTAATTGTTTTTATTATAAAATGTGATGTTTATTTAAATCAATGGTGTTGTTTCAATAAGTTTTCGGAGGTGATTATGAAAATTTTTATAGAGGAGGTTATTAAAAATGTAATATATAATAAATTATTTAATATATTAACAGTGAGATTTTTTAAGATATATATCCTCCTCCATTTCTTTGTTAAATAATGATTTTTTTTATGAAAATATACAAATTAATATTTGATTTAGTTTTAAATATTATACTATAATTATTTTTTTATTACAAAATGAAGAATGGTCTAAATAAAATATTGATTGGTCAATAACCAGTTTTATAAAATTACTTTTTGAGATATTAGTAATTAAAGATTTAGAAAAGGTGGGAAACGGGTAGAGGAGTTTAGCGACCCTTTATTTTTACCATGACGCACAGATAAGAATTCTTCAACGTTGCACATCCCCCCTTTTATCTAAACTAAAAAGTACATTAGCTCAAAAAGTAGTAATATAAAACTGATTATCAACTAGTCAACGTTTTATTTAGACCATTCTTCATTAAATAGTAAAAAATAATTATAGGTTACTATTTAACTTTCAAAAGTTACTCCTAACATTTTTTCTTACAATAAACCTAATATTTTACTTGTACATTTTTATGAAAAAATCATTTAACAAAAAATATGGTAGGTATCGTTCTTAAAAAAAAAAACGATAGCACAGTATGGATGTGGCATAGTTGAAACAAGTGTAGATAATATCTGACAATGATTAAAATTCTATCATAAAAAACACTTTGATGTAAATCTGTAGATAATATTTAATTTTAAGAATTTGGTGGATTATTTCAAAAGCAAAATGAACTCATATTTCCTCAATTATATCAAATTACAAATTTTGTGATATATAAGTGTAATATATGAATACATATTGTTTATAATACATATGTATTATAATTACGGCAACCATTATCAAATAGAAGATAGGTCGACAGAACAAAAATTTTTTTTTAATATATAGTACGTAACATCATAAGCTTTAGTTTAAACATGTGTTTAAAGGACGCAGTATTTCTGGAAAACTTTAAAAAATTAAGTTGAATGAAAACATTGAATTTTGTGAATAAGTTTCTATTTTGAACACTTACTGTAAGCAAGTTTCAGATTTTCAAAAAATGAATATCAAATGGAAGGTAAATACGTATGATGTTTATACAAAAAATTATAATTTTTATTCGTTCATTTTTGAAAAATTTATGGTAGTTTTAAGAAAAAAATTTCAAAATTTACGGATATTAAAAATTGTAATTTTTTTGGAGATTTCTTTCATTTACAGAGAACAAGGGAATTTGATACGATTTGTGATTTTTTGACGTATTATTGAAAGAAAGAAATCTTTTTTGAAAAAAAGCAGCCACATACATAAAAAAAAAACTGTAGCACAGTGGGGTTGCGATACAGTATGGACGTGGCATAGTTGGGACAAGTATAGACGATATCTGACAGTAATTAAAATCACTATCACAAGAAACGCTTCTATGCAAATCTGTAAATAATGTTTAATCATAAGAAATTGGTGGATTATACTTAAAGCAACATAAACTCTTATTTCCTTGATTATATCCTAATTATGGGTTATTTGATTTATATATATATATATTTACTATAGTAATTAAATATTGTATACAATTGATATTCAAATAGTTTAGTGTTGTAAATTTTATGGAAAAATTATAGAAATAATAAAGTACTTGTAAAATTTTTTTGATCTTATGAATAAATACATTGGACTACAAGGAACTTTCATCTGAAGCAAAAATATACTTTTCTTTTTCAACTTTTCGCGCTGTTTTCAAATCTGCAAATAGTCTTTTTCTATCACTTTTAATTTTTGTAATTATTAATAATTAGTAAAAAATAAGTATTTACATATGAAAAATAATTTAAAAAAAAAAAAAAAAATTATTTTAAATTATTACTGATTTAGATTTTTAATATGTTAAAAATAATGAAAATAACATATTTAACCAATTTTTTTATTCATACAGTTGATTTTTGTGAAGATTATAATAAAAAAAAGTTAAATTTGTTACCATAACTTTTATTTCAACTTGCGAGATTGAAAAAATCGAATCTAAGCTAATTCAAATTTCAAAGTAATTTTTCTAGACTAAAAAGTAGCAAAAAAATTAAAATAAGTTTAACTTTATATGCTATGTCAAATATATTTATATAATATTTATGAAAATCAGTGTACTCTCCTTGTAAGGTATTTTAAAATAAAATACAAAACCCAGAATTTTAACACAAAAATAGCATATTTTTGAATACGGGAATCCAGATGTCAATTTTTTTTTTAATTAAAGTATATTACATAAGCTTTAATTTAATATATATATATATAAAAGTGTCAGTTTTTTCGGAACATTTTAAGTTAATTTTGTGTAAAAAAATTGCCATTCCGAAACCCTCCTTATGGGCTGGTAAAGGGTCAAATTTTTACAAAAAAAAAAAAATTATATTGATTCGGTCATTATTAAAAAAGTTATGGCAGTTTTAAGAAAAAAAAAAATTGAAAAAATGTCGAAAATTAGTGATTTTTAAATTTGTAAGTTTTTTGGAGATTTCCCCCATTTACGGAGAACGAGGGAATATTTTTCAATTTTCGAGGTAATGTCTTCGACTAGATACAATTTGTTATCTTTTGACGTATAGTAAAATTAATACCTTCTCAGCTTTGCATCGAAACTTAAAATCAATCTTAATGTATTTTTAAGTTTAGCTCTCAGTTCAGAGGGGTAACCCAGGATTTCCATCAAATACCAATATGCTTAAGCCAATATTATTTTTGTTTTGTAAGTATTGTAAGGGTGCAATCGTTTTATTATTGATATATTATACCTATGAATACATTTAAAAATCGCTTCTAACCCTATCCTTAACTTACGGTGCAGTTTTTGGAATTTAAGAATGTAAGTGATGATTATTACAGGTATTACTATAAGTGAGTATTAATCTCCTATAGTGTTACATAGCATATATGTCAAAGACCTTCTAATTTTAATATTATACATCTTCCGAGTAAGAATTTCTAATAAATGATGCCAGTAAATTTCTGAAAGGTCAGAAGTCATCAGAAAATACTTCTTAAACAACTTTAAATCTTAGTTAATAAATAAAAAATAATTACAATGACTAGCATTTAATAATAACGGAGAAGTTCTATTGGGTGATACATTATTTTATTATATATTATTAATGTTTCGGGTCGAAGCAATATTTAACCCGATAGCTATGAGAAATAATCTTTCTTTACTAAAGTTTATATACAAACTACCATCAAGGAATAATAATAAACGGTCCATTAAAAAATTATTTTTTATTAGAAACAGTTATACCACCACTATAATCAGTTGTATATAATATGATTATTGAATTAAAATTGAACACTATAGTATTGCAGTCCAATGCGGGCTAGGTTTAATTATTTGTGCACAGAATGTTTGATACATCTGGGCCCCTTTTTAAGGATGGCTCAATGTAATGAAGTAATAATAATATGTTAAGTCGTGCGATAGTCACTTAAAGAATTAATCGCTGCTACCGAGTCTAGATAACATTGTGTTTATGAAACACTTAGTAACAGACAAAAGCATATCAGTAAAGCCCCACTATATAAACAAAAAATCATCACATTTTATCAAAACAAATTTTCAACAGACAGAAATTTCATTAAAAAAAATCAAATAAGGCACAATTCGTACACTTTAGTGTAGTAAGGATATGCCAAATTACTACTTAAAAAAATATACATATTTTCGTCTGGAATACGTGTGGGCACAACAATTCAAATAGCAAATTATTTTTACGTTGTTATTCATTTGACCATTCAAAGAATCTTGTTAGACTATTGTTTGTTTCATGAACATAATCAAAACTACTAGCTACTTTTTCCATTTGAAATTTTATACCAAAAATTAAGAAAACTTATTATTCTTACCTTGAAATTTTCAACTCCTTCGCCAATTTGTTCAATGACGCCAGAACACTCAAAACCTAAAATAAATGGGGCTTTAGGCAGTGATTCGATGGCACCTTGTCTTGCCATTAAATCTTGGAAATTAAGACCACTATAAAAATATATATATATAATTAAAATTAAAATAAATCAAGGCAAACGTTAGGATGAATAAAATTTACGTTAATTTATAATTGTTTAATAAAATACGAATTTTGTAGTATAAAAAATAAGTATTATTTTTGATAAGGTATTGTCAAATAGTTGAATAACAAGAATTTTAAAATTGTGTTCACTTAGAATGATGTACTAACCCTACCTAATCTCAGTAGGCATAAATAGCATACATTATATACGTATGTACATGCCGTAAGAGACGTATACAAGGGGGGTTATAAAAGTTAAGCCTTCCATTGGTTACTCTAAACCAATATTTTAGGTAGAAGTGTACATCAAAATATCACTACATTTATATTACAATACCCAAACAAACTTACATGAAATCTAACATAATATGTCGTTGAAGATATTAAAAATTCACATGTATTTAATTGTACAATTCTAAATAATACTTACATAATAATGATATCTTTTTAATGTAATAAAAATATTTGTGTAATATTGATACTTAAAACTAATTTCTACAATATCATTTTCGGTAGTAATTGATAGAGAAAATTACATTTTTTATTAGACTAGGTTTTTTAGACAAGGTGTTTTTTCCATTAAAATGCGTAACAGACGATAGTTACTCATTAAAATGCTTTCGAAATCAGAACATCAAACACAAAAAGTTCTTAGTACCCCAAGTACAGAAATGTAAACGACCAGTGGCAAGCAACGTATTAGCTGCGACGCCGCTTAGTCTAGACTTAAGGCGCGATTTGTCGTCACGTAACGCGATTGCCGCCAACCGCTTCGCCCTAACTTTATTCATTCAACCTCATCACAAAGTTATAACATATTATTGTCATGCACATGGACATACTAGGACATAAAGGAATAGCAACCCTAACACGTCAATACATGAACTATTTTTAGGAATCTAATAAAAAAAAAAAAACGAGGTAAAAGGCGATGGAATACAAAATGAATTCAACCTTCAATATTTTGTATAATTTTTATAATTAATATACCGATAAATAAAAGGAGAAATTTAGCATTTCAAAATGATTTAAAAGCACATTAATTTTTATTATAACACAAAGTGACAGTGAATTTTTAAATATCAAATTAACGATCACATCAATTACTCATTTGTTTCTTTTTTTTTTTTGTAAATAAAATTAACGTATTCACCTGGTGATTAATTGAGAAAAAACATGAAGATGTCTTTGGTCTATACAAATAGAATTCGAGTTGAAACATAAAAAGTTAAATGCGATTATTGCATAATTTGAATATTTATTGTTCAGAAAAGGGAAATAAAACCCTAACGATATTATTTTACTAGACGATTAGTTTTAGAATGGTAAGGGGGTTGGTAACGCATTTATTGTCTATTTAAGTATAAAAATATTTTGTATTGGTCTCTCGAGACTCATACATCGGTCTAACTCAATTTTACGTTTTATTATAATAAAACTGCATTCGATCACGTTTTCTGTTCTTCTCCTCGAAACGTATCTATAGCCAATTGTAATTACTTTTGATGTTTTTAGGCGCCACTGGATTTAACTATAACGGTGATATGATTCATACAAAATTGTAACAAGAAAAAATAACGTTTAAGTGAAAGAGAAATTAGAAAATGACGTGCTACTGCGTTTGTGCAGCACAGTTGCGATACAATTTTTAACACTGGATTGCTTCCAAGGGAAACACAAATGGGTAAACGGTACACCATGAAATTAGCAAGATCACTTCTCGGCATGACAGGTGCAGATTTCTCTCGTCAAATGAGAAACCGTTCTGGTCCATCGATACATAAACAAATGAAAATTATTACACAATCCAATGATATAATTATTTTAAATGTTCCCTTCGCGCAGTAATTAACATCAGGAACACAGCCGTCGATAAGAAACTGCGCATATCAAAAGGTCATATTGTGCGTTCATCAGTTATAACAAACGGTATTTTTATTGTTTTAGGTTTGTTTACCACTGATATTATCTATTTATAATTTATAATAATAAAGAATAATATCAATGCATTAGCAGAGAACATTGATAAAAGCCGCCACTGCTGTTACTGAAACACAACAGCAACTCATCGTTGTCTTCAACTTAACATAAAATTAAATACGTGTATATATTTATTATACACGTTCACCCTCCGCTGTGGATGGTGTACACAACATACAGTGCAGGTTAAAAAATATTCTTTTATGTTTGTACACGTGGTGTGACACGACACTATAAAATAAAAACGGCTCCGTAACACACGAAATCCTATGAAAAATCGTTGTTTTATTATCATACTATTCTTATTATACGATAATAATGTAAAATTAAAAAATATTAACAACAGCTCTTGGGTCAAACACCTAGTCTGTATTTATTTTATTAAAGACATTATTATAACAATACCTATAACGTACTACTCAACAAAGCTTCGTTGTCGTGGCTGTTGAAAACAATTCGAATGTATTCATCATTATATATACAAATATATCATTTTTTACACCTATGTCTGAAATGTATTCGCACCATACGCATTTTTGCTGCTGTTGATTTTTCAATTCATCGACAACGTGCATACGCACAATATTGTTATTGTAACAACCAAATGTTCGTCGAAAACAAGTTTCGCGCAAAAAAATAATCCCATTACATTATTACTGCAAAGCGATTGTTTTTTTTAAATTTTGTTTTAATCATTTTCATAAAAACAAATTATTAATACAATTATGATAACATTATAATTTTCTGAATTCAATGAACAAAAATATTGATGATTAACAAAGGAAATATTTTTGAACACGTATTAAAACATTTATCGACAAAAAAATATTAATGCCATAGTTAACTACATATTTTCATAATGTTTTAATAAATTTAATTGATAATTACATTTAACAACATATCGCATTGTCGCCTCTGAGTATATACATTCGAAATCGTCATCATTATTACATATTCGATGCCCAAAGGTTATAACCAATTTGTAATACTATAATGTATTACTGACAATATAAGGCTTCGATATCAAAATAATTATATCTCAACAAAAACTAAATAAATTGTTGATTATTATGTATAAAATTATTGGAATTTTCTTAAAGATTTTTATTATTGATTAGTACATAGATCAACTTCCTCGTTTTCTAAAGTTATACAATAATAAATATTATGAATATAACTGTAAATTATAAGTACAATAAAAGTAAAAATTAATTTAACACTACCGCCAGGATGTTAAAAAAAAACAGATTATTATTGAATCAAAAAAAAAAAATTGTAGATACCTGTTCATTGATCTATGTGTGTTTCATTATAAATGTGCGTTATTTAAAAACCCTACTTAAATTTTCTACACAAAAAATTTTAATAAAAATAAAACTTTTGAAAACGAGTTAATAAATTATTGTTTAGTCCTTGAAATGTTAGAAGAAAATAATCTCCAAATTTCTTTTTTATTTTGTATACGATTAAATCATTAAAATTTTTATTTAGCTTAAGCCAACATAAAACGAGTCAATTACAGATTATTTAGACAAAGAGAAAATTTACAGTGTTATCTTCATTAATCTTTAGGAAATATTTTATGAAATTTATATCATTGTCCTATTACGATGGATTGAACAATATTAAATATACACTTGAACTATATATCTATTTGAATAAAAAACATTTTATTTATAAAATATCTATTACTCATCAATTAAAACACTTAATCAATTTTACACAAGTTTACTCATAGCTCAGATAACATATATAATTTATTAAAATTAATAACATGTTGACAAATACGGACTGATCATTTAGTGTACGCTACCAATCGGCAGTTGGCACATGATTACAAAATTTGACATAGGGCAGTGCAACACAAACAGAAGAAAATACAAATTAAAGAAACAACAATAGTATAATGGAAAAACAATAATTTACATAAGAATTGTTTTCTCTCGGCGTTCCCCTCACTTGCCGTTAAAATTTATTCAAGCATTAATAACGACAATATTTTAACTGCTTTTTGACATTAACACAATTAAAAATTGTGTGTAACTAAAACACTAACAATTATTGTCTTTTGAATTGGTCAGAAGTATCTATCGAATTAGTGATTTATACAAGACCATTGACCTCTCGAATTTTAATACATCAATTTAGTGTGCTTTTATTGCCGTTGCCATTGAGTTAACAAGATTGAACACAACGGAAAAGTCAATAGAAAGTATTACATATAAACACTGGACTTGTTGATTCTGCCCACACGTTGTTTCGCGTCAGACGGAGATGAGCCGACGGCAACCGAAGGCACTGGCCAAAAGCTAAACAGGAGATAAGAGGGAGGGGTTGGTTATTGCAACATGTGTTTGCGTGTTTCTTCGTTCATAGTCAACTCGTAGACTGGGAAGAGGGTGGCAGCGTTGCCAGGTTTGGTCAGTAGAATTCAATGCTCACCCCAACCCGTCGTCCCAATAAAACATACGCCCTGTTTTCCAAAAGTGATTTTCTCGTGTTCGTCACGACACCCTCAACGATTACTTTCCCTCTGATCACCTCCAATGGTTTCTATTTATAACTTTTAAATGCGGGTATTAATAATTTACTGAAGGTCATGTATTCCCCGATGACTAATATTGAATAAAAAATATATAACATTTAATTGAAAGACAAATGACGATATATTTGTTTGTGGTGCGCACAACATGCATTTCGCAATGGCAAATAGTGTATTAAATTTCATTTCATGTTTGGTTACCGGACAATTAAAATAAAAAAAGAGTTGTGTACCGTTTTATTAGATGAACATTGTACCGAGTTTTACTTGTATATTCAATCTAAAAATAATGCAACACAATAAATATATAACATCCGGTCAATATAATAAACACGAACGTGAATACATCGCACTCGAAAAACTGAGAAAGAAACTGACCAAATAATTTAAACAATCATTGATTACATAATAGTAGTCAATACATTTTGAATTTGTTTACACACATCATTATTATGAAAAAATTTTCATTATCGTTGTTAAATGGGTATACTGGGGTGTCAATTCGATAAAAGATAAAAAATGCGTCAACTAATTAAAAAAAAATTAGAATGGTTAAAAACCATTCTAATTCATAGATTAATGACCTAACACGCACAGTCAATGAGGTTTTTTAATATCTTCAATGAAATTTGAAAATTCTCATACATTGGTCAAAATAATGGTTTACTTATTTTTGTTTTATTTAATAATTCAACAATTATATAGGAGGGTAGGNTTAAATTTCAAAAATTCTCATACATTGGTCAAAATAATGGTTTACTTATTTTTGTTTTATTTAATAATTCAACAATTATATAGGAGGGTAGGGTCTTGCCAGTCAAAATATGACTTACTTTGATTCAAATAAATTTTACTTTCGATCAAACATATGGTCGTGAAGGTTCCAAGGTTGTCTAAAACTCAAGGCTAATACAATTATTATTTGGTCGGTTTGAACAACTAAACGGCAAGCGACTTTAATATAAATACGAATGTGCTCAGTTTTACAAAATTTAAATAATAACGACCGAAGGATAGCCGATCAGTATTAAGTTACATGAACGCTCATGAACAAAACATTATTTTTCATTTGGGATTACATTTAAATTATGTACACACTTGCATACATTTAGGAATATGTTTTATATTTTTGAACATGTTTTTACTGGATTTGCAATCAGTTTATATTTACAAAGGTGCGTTAGGATAGACGTTAATATTTTTAAACTATCATTATAGATTTTATGAAATATACTTCCATTTTTAATTGAAACACTCTCGATTATCTAGTGAACTTAATTTTAAATTTAAACTTTAGATGTTATGTACAGCTTGTATATTAAAAAAAATCCTTCAGGCTAATATCAGAAGGTAAATATTACTAGATGATTTTCAATCAATACAATAAACTAAATTGTTTAATTACATATCTGAAAAATGAACTGCCAAAATAGATCCAAATAAAATAACAATAATAATTAACGATTACTAATTGGAAACAAAAATGATTATCTATATCGTTTAAAAGTAACGATAAATAATCAAAGACGTAAATTCAATGAGCCGCAGAAGAATAGAATACGAAGAAAAAACATCTAGACACAAACAGGTGAAGACACGATTGCAGCAGCTGCTACTGTTGCCATACATCATGCGGTGTTTTTGCTAAGGGTGGCAGTTATTAACATTATATGAATAGTATTTCGCATTGCTAAAATAAAATTCAGTAACAAAAATAGGTCCGTACGTTTATGATCAGATAATATTGGACAGTAACAAAATAATTCCCGTGTTTTTACAACATGAAAATGATGTAAACAATTCAATTTGGGCGTATTCTAAGACGTACATTTAATACCTTTCGTCCTAAAAATTCTTTTATTGCACATCGTGACGATAACACGCAGTAATCTTTACAGTACTAATGAACTATATGTTTCTATGTTTACATAAAATCTGAACGTACTTTTCCAATTCTATTTATATACAGTAAACCGGTGATAGTTATGATCGAGAAAAGCCGGGCGCGCACGATTTAAGCTAACATATGTTAGTGTTGCCCTTATTATAGTTAAGTAAAACACTAGAATTACTTACCATGCCTTCACCCTAATGATAACTTCGCCTTCGCCTAGAATGGGCTCAGGTTTTTTCAAAATCTTGACTGACTTTAAGCCGCCAAACCCGGTTAGCACAACAGCTTTCATTTCTTTGGGCGGTTCCTCGGTGACAGCAGCCGCGGCCTTGCCATTTCCCTCAGCTTTAGTTTGTTCTGGGGTTGTTTCTGGTTGTTTTTCGGGTTGAGCAGCTGTTGCATTTTCTTCGGCCATGCTTAACAGTAAATCGATTGCACGGTTTAGTAGATAAAAAATAAATAATTACTTCTAATAGTCAAAGAAAAATAATTAACAGCTACAAGACGAAACTAATTGTGGAGTGATTGAGGAGCAGTAGACAACGTATAGATGCACCGATAGCGTTACTATAAGAGCAGAACACGAACCAGTGACAAGAGGGACTGCCGGTAATCGGCATACACCCTCTCGACAACGCAACTATATCGTATTAAAAGTAACAGTGCTACCACTTTAACAGAAATAATATAATGTGACGAATATTTGTCTTAGGCAAACTTTTTTTTTGAAAATATTGAAAAACTTATGAAACAAATTTTTTTTGTATAAAAATACATATAGAGTATTCAGTAAGTAAGGATAAATATCAATTGTTATAAACAATGACAACAATAGAAACCCATTTCCTTATTTACTGAACACTATATAATTTTCATAAAATTTTGAAGAGCTATAGCAACTTTTTGTGGATATCGTTAAAATGTATTTTAAAAATTTAATTTTTGTGGACTAAATCCCCTTAAACTACCCGATTCCGCCTATGTATATCAGAAATTGATATATACAAGGTACGATATATGTAGATAACATAAATACTATATATTTTAGAATATTGGCTTCGATTTAAAGCTGAGAAAATATTAATTTTACTATGATGTGTTTATATTTTTTCGTTTGTTTGTTACTACTTATTTTCAACTTTCACTGTATCGATCTTAATAAACGATACGTCAAAATATTACAAATTGTTTCTAGTTGAAGAAATTACTCTTAAAAATTAAAAAAAAATTCTCGTTCCTCATAAATTCGGGAAATCCCAAAAAAACTTACAATTTTTTTTTTTTTATCGATAGTCTAATTGATCATATAAGATCTATGATTTCTTCGTAAAAATTACAATACTAAATTATTGAATATCAATTCCATATTAAATTTAATTTCTGTAATAAGTAATTATTTATGTATTATACTTATAAATCATAAGACTTGTAATTATAATATAATTAATAAAATAGAATGTGGGTGTTTCTTTTAGAATAATTCAATAAGAATTTCTTTTTAAAATTAAATACACTCTATACATTTGCATTTATTATAATAGTTATTATAATCACTGTCAGGTATCATCTATACGTGTCCCCAGTGTTTCGCGATTTCACTATGCTACAGTTTGTTATTTGATAAATTTATAATTACAATTTTAGCTTCGATGCGAAGCTGAGAAGGTATTAATTTTACCATGATGTGTTTATTTNTTTATGGTACGTATTCTAACCATTTTTATAATAGGAAGGAGGCGAAATAAATAATGATTTATGAGTTCATTTTTTCGATTTATTGTATACTCTTTTAATTTTATTAAAATTTTTATTTTTTAAATAATATAAGATTTGATTTTACCATAGGCTTAGTTTAATTCTAGTTTGAACACAATCAAGTTTCAAATACTGTTCATCATATTATGCTAACTAAAATAGATGTTTTTTGGGTATTAAAATTATGTAAGACTTACAGATATTTGATAAAAAAAGTATGTTCAAGTACTCTCAAATAGCTTTACTAGTTTTCAATTAAGAGAAGATACAATTGTGTGAGTCTTGACTATTTTTATTTTAGCAATCTAGTAATAAAATAGAGCTAACTTTAATTTAATTATTTAAATATGATCAGCCTGTCTCTATTACGTGTCAAAAATCGTTAAAATGTATTTTAAAAATTTAATTTAAATTACCTAAGTTTGCGATTATAAATAATAAATATTTACACCCTGTGATGTATTTAGCTTTCATTCTAAAGTTCATTTTTACTTCCATATCATAATACTACTTAAGTGGAGAACATTTAAGAATGAAGCTATCCTTGTTAAGATGGCTATTTAGCCTAATCCTAAATACGCTACTGTTTACGCCTTTAAAAAAGTCTAACAGACCTACATACATGTACTGATATTTATCTATGTAATTTTCCCTGTTTATTTCTAGTTTTATCTAATCTGTGATAATATATAGAGTAATATCACATATACGGATATTAAACTTATATTCTATATCGGTGAATATTTTTGTATGATATGATATAAAATACAAAGATTGCTGTAGAATTTTGAACGGTCTTATTGCTGTTATCAGACAAAGATAAAAATGACAGATAAAGTTTAAAATGTTATTTATTATTTTAAACTTTTAAATGAGAATATATTTTTTTTAATTACTTAAGTTTTTCATTCTATAATATCCTTAACTCTTTGTTTGTATATTTTTATTGTTCAGATGAGTGAATTCGTTAGACTGTACAATAAATATATCTATTATAGTATGTATATTACACTTTACAAAAACAAATAAATTTTTCATATTTTTTTCTTATGACTATGGATTTAGTATTTAAAACTCCATCGAAGTCTCCCAACTCGAATTTAATAACACCAAGTTCGACTTCGCCATTTACACCAAAGAGAAGTTTAATAAGAAAAAAAATTGAAGATTTTAATTCTGTTTCTAGAGTTTTGTTTGACTCTTCTGATGAATCATCAAGTGTCAGTGTTGATTTAAAAGAAAAATTTCTGTCTACTTGCCAAATTAAATCTGAAACACAGATTAATAATACGGAACAAATCACTCCTATTAAAGACTTACAAAATCAAAATAAAATATTATTATCACCACAAATAAAAAATCATCCAAATCGTTTTAATTTAAATGAGAACTTGAATAATGCAATTAAATCAAAATCTAATAAACGTAAAGGTACAAATTTATCTACATCATCTAAAAAGCATAAAATTTTTAATGCAGATAATAATAAAAAAATTTATGAATTTTTTCAATCATCAGAACAAATATTACAAAGTGAAAATAATAATAAACTGTGCAATGAATCAAGTTTGTCTAACAAACACTTTATGAGTTATAATGAAGAATCTATTAAGATCAAGCAAGAATTTTTTGATGGTACTAAAGTGCTACCAGAAACTATTTCTCATTTAAAATTTATGAAAAATTCATATAATACTTGTCAAAAACTTGTTAATATTACAAAAATAAGTCCATCAAAAAATTTAGAAAATACTCCTACCAAAAATAATAAAAAAACATCAAATTTTCAAATAGAAGTAACGCCAAAAAAAAAAATTGATAGTAGTCATATAAACAGTAGAAGTCCATCTATATATGATCTTTTAACTCAACCTAAGATAATTATTACTGGAGGTGATACCTACAGTAGATTTATTAGGCATTTAGTATTAAGACCTGAAGTACATTTTTTAGTGGGAAGACATTATAAACTGTTTGCTGAATGTACTGATGAAGAATTAAAAATATATGGAAGACTTTTTTTGAGGAAACATGGATGGATTCGGTCAAATGGTCCAAATAGTCTTCAAGACTATAAAAGCAAAAATTTATGTGATAATTTTGAACTTGTTCTTCAATCATTAGAAGAAAAAGAATTAATCAATACAAGTATATATTTTTAGTTATTTAAATATTTGAATGAAATAATAATAATAATTATTATATTTATTTTACTAATTCATTATTTGTAATGTAATTAAGATTTTGTTTGGGGGAATTTACTTAAAAAAATTTTCACTGTACCCTCCAAACAATAAAGAATTGTATTTTTACCATGTATCGATTTTTGTCATAGTAGACATATGTAAGCTATTTCCCTCCTTCATAATTATGCAAGTAATCATTATGCTATTTTTAATAAAATGTATGATTTAATTTTATGAATTTTTTTCAGATGTCCTCTCCTGTAAATTAGAAGATTTATTAGACAAACTAAAAGTTTCAGAACTTAGAAAACTACAAAAACTTTTTAATATTACATCTAACACCAATCAAAACAAGACTCAAATAGTAAAGTCATTCACTGACTATGTAAAAAATCAAAGAACTTTCTGTGGAAATTCAAATAACAATTTGAAAGAACGGTTTGTATGTTTTTTGAAAATGATAATTTAATTTTGAAAAAATTATTCTCTTTTTAGTATAAGAACTTTGTTAGGATATTGTGTACGTTTATCAGATGAGCCAAGAGAGGATTTATTAAGCTGTTTAATAATTGTGTCGTATCCATTTTTTGTTGGAGAAGAAAAAGATAGAATGGGTGATTTTTTATCTAAATTTACCATGAAAGAAAGAGGAGAAATAAAGTATCCAGATTTTAAAGTACAGCATGTATCCATTAATTTTACGACATCAGAAAGTTTATTATCGTAAGTTTTAGTTTCAATATTAAACTGAAAAACTATTGATTTTACTTTAATATTTTTATTTATTTATTTTTTTTTTTTGGTTCGGTCTATCTATTCATATAAATACTCAGCTTCTACTAGGTTAAACTTATTGATTAATAGGTAAAAATCTTAAGTTATATAAAAGTTGAAATCATTACACTCAATTCTTGAAAAAAAATTATCCAAAATTTTTCTTTAGTATATTTAGAAATTTTATATAGGGTTATCAGATAGCTTTCAGAAAAAAAGAGTTTAAAGAAGATGCACCTTTTCATTACTACCTGTTACATTTATTTTATGTCCATGAGACATAAAATAGTTATGACTCCATGGAACTTCTTTGTTAGTACTAATTGAGGTCCACAAATTTTGACTTTTTTTTTTTTATCAATATTTTTCTTAAATATATTTAAATAAAATAACATTTTAATGATATATACATAAGAATTATTTAAAAATTTTATTTTTGTACTTATTTTTCATTATACAGGTGATTGTGTGACACAGTGGTCACACACAATATCTTCAAAAATATAATTTTTTTTTCAGAAGTTATAAGTATCTTAAAAACTTTAATTAACTAGAAGAAAATAGTTCTAATCTCTCTTATTTACCCTAAAAATTGTACCAACTTAAGTAGCTTAAAAACAGAAAAATGATTTAACTAAGAAAATGACTGCTCAATAACAATATTTGAACCAGTTTTTCAGAAGTTATATATATTTTAGAATAAAGAATGGTGGTAAAGTTAAACAATTCTACTTCTTTTCTTTTTATAAAACTATTAATATTTTTAAAAGAATGGTTCAAAAGTTGTTATTGGTCAGTAATTTTCTTAATTGCAAACCAATTAAATTTCTATTTAAAAAGAATTTGTACCTCTTACAATTATAAGAGGTAAAGAGAAGGGATAGAACTATTTTTTTCTTATTAATTAAAATTTTTACTTATAGCTTCTGAAAAAAAATTACATTTTTAATGATTTTATATGTGATATAATTGATATGTGATATAAGGAACATAATAATTTTTTTATAATTATTGCTGATTAATTTTAGTTAATTTTTTTGGCATACATTTAATACTGAATAATTAAATTCAAATTATAGTGAATAATCTAATTTAATGTATAAAAAATTTTTTTTACCCTAACATTTAATCAACATTAGTATGTTTCAAAAATTCTGATACCTATTAATGTACTATAAATAAAAAGTTATACAATTTAGTTTAAAGTATAATAAATTTCCTGATTGTTTGTCTTCGGACTTAACTAATTAAACTAAAGTGACAATTAATTAAAAATCATAAAATTTTTCTTTTTAAAATATTGATTATTTTTTTATTTTCTTTTTGCCAGCATCTATAATGTAGGCCTATTTAAGTGTCTCAAAACTCTTTTAAGTTTAAATATAATTTCACATACTACATTTACCAAAAAATTTCACAAAACTATCTTCATGCTCATTTATAAATTTATATATTGTAAATATATCTTAAATTTATATAAATGAACCCAACAATGTAAATACTTTACTTTTATTGTAAGGGGGTTCTAATGTAAACTACCCATTCATCCTATTAATGTAATCAATTAATTTAACAAATTAACTTATTATATGCATTGTTCGATTATAAATACACATTTAAATATTTTATTTGATAAAAAAAATATATATATATATATATATATATTTGTATATTATAAAGCATTTTATAATTTATAAATAATTTTAATAATTAGCAGATTATTATCATTACTGGTTTTAACTATGCTTAATCTTCACTATGAGAAATTAGATTGTTTTGGGTATTTTTAATTTAATTTTATAAATTATGTATGGTGGATTGTATCAAATTTTCATAAAAATAATAATTAACTTTATGATGAAGTGTGGGGTGTATATTAATAGGGTACACATAACCTTTATCATATGCTAAAAGATCAAAACAGTATAGTTAGAATCCAACTATGATTTAATCAGTTATTAAAACTTAAAATCTTTTAATATTTCATTTTATCAAAAATCAATTGTTTTTTAGGTATAAAAAATCCCTCTTTCTTCGACAGGAAATTCAGTTCAGTAATGAACAAAAAAATCACGAAAATGTTGTATCTATCTTAAAAATTGTTTTTGATGAATTAAAGAGTGCAATAAGTAACCAAAATACAATGTATGTAACATAATTTCACAACTTAAAAGAACAACTTTTTTGTATATTTTAAAAAGTACATTTTAGATGGTTAAAAGAATATATTGAATTTTGATTACTTTTAAATACTTTTTCAGGAATACTTATGAAAAACTACCTACATATATGCGGAAATTTACTGCAGTATCTGTATATACCTATACTTTGCTAAAAAATATTTCTCAACTAAAAAAATTTTCTTCAGAAAATGATTTGACCAAAGAAGTTTTAATTTTTTTATTGGATCATAAAGAGTTTTTAATATCAAAGCGTATTAATTTATATATTGAATTGGCTAAACTTTATGAAATGCAGTATAAACAATTAGATCTAGTAAGTATATTTTTACGAGTTTATTCTTCATTTGTTACCTTTATGTAAAAGAAAGTTTTTTAATCTTTCATTGGTATCAAATTTTCTTTTCAGTAAGACTAAACGTCTTTATAAGATAGAAATAATTTATATTATTATGTATAAATATTGTAGTTAATAGACATTTTATGGAATTCAAAGAAAAGTTTAGGCTAAAATAATATTCCTTAGTATGATGCTACATCTTTATTCTGAAACTAATAATTAGTTTATTCTCGAAAAAAAGGATAGCAACTTTAATTATTAAATTCATTATTTGGGGACTGCTTCAGTTATGTAACTTAATTTTATCCAATAAAATAAATATTTTAAAACTTTATATTTCCTAAGCCTCTTATAAAAACCATAAGATTATTAATTCTATAATTTTATATGCATAAGTATGAAAAATATTTTTTGAAATTTATTAATTAGGCTGCAAAAGTAATAATTGAAGGTCTAAAAGATAAAGTTGTTGGAGAATTGGGATCACAAATTTTGTCTAATAGAGGTATGATGTATGCTAAACGTAAAACTAATGGATTAAGCCCAGAGTTAAAACTTCAATTATTGGAATTAACCATTTTGGATGAAAGAAAAATACCAGAAATAACTATTAATGGAAAAATAGTGTCATTTAAGGAGAAGTAAGTATTGTATGATTAATTTTATTATTTAGTAAAATATATAACTGTATATATATATTTTCTATAAATAATCATAGTTCATAATTATTGAATGAGGAGTACCCAAAAGAGACATTAGAGAATATCTCGTGGAATGAGGGACTGGTAGATTTAATTAGTGAGAAAGAGATATGGGCGGGTGGTTGAAGTGGAGTGAAGCGTCTGGCGTCTTATGTGATAAAAGAATTCCAATGAGACTGAAAGTTAATTCTACAAAACTGTAATAAGGCCAACTATGATGTATGGTTCAGAGTGTTGGGCGGTTGATAAGGAAGTAGAGCAGGAATGAGTGTAGCAGAGATGAGAATGCTTAGATGGATGAGTGAAGTGACTAGAAAAGATAGAATAAGGAACGAGCATATAAGAGGGAGTATAGGTGTAGCGTCAAACGTGGATAAGATGAGAGAAAATAGACTTAGATGGTTTAGTCATGTTATGAGGAGAGAAGAATCGGTAACTATAAGAACAGTAATAGAAATGAATGTTGAAGGAAGAAGAGGTAGAGGAAGACCATAAAAGAGATGGAGGGATGCTATTGAATGCGATTTGAGGACAGCTGATGTGAGCATAAATGATGTGGGAGATCGTGTCAAGTGGAAGTTTAGGATAAGAGTGGCCAATGCCAAGTAGTTAGGATAAAAGCGAGGAAGAAGAAGAAGAAGATAGTTCATAGAAGCTAATTATATTTTAATGTTCCATAATATTGATTTTAGGGGTTCTTCAGGAAGAAAACAAGTTTATGAAATAAAAACTTATGATGGAATATCATATATGTCAGTTGAAGAGCGATCTCTGTATTATTATAAAAATGAAGGGTATTCAAGAGGTAAAATTATATTTTTTATTTAAAGTTTAACAAGACAACTTTTTATAACATAAGTTATGAAAAATTTAGGATTGACAGTTAATCTATTTATTTTATTAAAAAATATATATCTCTATATTTTCTTTACATTTCTTCAAACTGTTAAATTATTTAAATCAGTGCATTAAAAGTGTCTTGTCTGAACCTGATCTTTAAACTATTTTATAATGCATAGTCGCACCTTAACTTATATAAATTTTAAAATTCAAATGGTTGGGTTATCATAATCAAAAAATATTAATCTATTGTTACTATTTGTTTTAAGGCTACATTTTTAAATTTAAATTGTATTTTTTTTATACTAAAAATTAAAAATAGTGTATTTCTTTTTATGAAAATTTAATATTACATAAACTTAAATATAATTTATCAACATAAAAATATGTAAATTATTTTAAGTGCAATACATTTTTTAAATCCTTCAGTATCATCTAGAAAAATCAACCTGGCTCTATTAAAAAAAATTATTTTCTAGTTATAAAAATAGCAGCATCCTCACCTCACTTCCAGTCATGACTTTAAATTATTAACTTCTAATATACTCGTCCAAAAGATGTTATTGACTAGTAATTTTCTTAATTAGGTCATTATTTTATAAATAATCTGGTGGATGTGTATATTTTCATTCTAAAAACTAAAGTTAAGGGTGTTAACTTTAGTTGTTTCATTATTTCCTCCTCATACTGATTCCTTCTTAATGTTTGGAAATATTAAGTCGATTCAGAAGATAAACAAATAATATAAATATTCAATATATTAAAAATTATATTTTTTCTTTATGATTTTTTTAATGCAAAATCATCAAGTGATGCATTATAGATAACTAAACAAAGTTTATTAATATTTATAATATTTACAGGATTACATGATGAAGGGCAACTTATTAAGTCAATGTTCTTTTTATGTTTTTGGGATGTAATTTATGGGAATTATCCACCACATGTAATTTTTTTAAGTGAATATCAAGATAGTCCATTAGATTGGAGAACTCAGCATTTTTATACTATTCGAGAAAAAGCAATTAAAGTAATTATTTCTTATTTTATTTCTAATTTTCTTTAGCTTTAAATAATTTTGGTTTAAGGATCAATTAGCAAAATTAGAAGGCATGAGTGTGAATGAAATATATGAAATGTTGAATGAACTTTGTGTAAAGTATTATAACACTCAATCAGTTATTAATTGGAAAATATTGACTCCAAATAATTTGTTACTTTGTAAGGTAGGTAAAAAAAAGTTAGTTATTATACCAAAAGATAATTTCAAGTTTTGATTGTAAATTAAATTATTTTTACAGGAACTATTAAATTGTCTTGGTATTTCTATATTTTTGTCAATTGGACATCACATATTAGCTAATGGTAGAAAATATATGCATGGTATGCCAGATCTTATTATTTGGAATCCAATGGATAATAAAGTAATTTTTGCCAAAAAAAAAAACCTTTTTATGTGGTTCATTTTGGATTATCATTAATGATTAATTATATTAATTAAATAAAAACTAAATAATTTTAAGATAGAAGAAAATGTCAAAATTTTAAATTATTAAAAGTAATTATTATTATTTTTTTGTTTGTATTTTTAGTATAAGTTTGTTGAAGTTAAAGGTCCTAAAGATAAATTATCAGATGTACAACATTCATGGTTACTTACACTAATAGAATTTGGAGCGTATGTAGAGGTTTGTCATATTGTTGGTATGTTTAATCTTTTATATTATGTTCTCATTGTTACAAAATAAAAAATATAAACTTTGATATTAATAATAATGTTAGAGACCTCTTAAGGCTGGGGTAAGCTGGACTCCGGACAAATTCCTGACCCTGTATATTAGACTCTTTATTTTAGGTCTGTTCACTTAAAAATTTTCTTTAAGTACAAAAATTTACTTATATTACAAATCTAGTTTGAAATTTTATGGGAAAATATTATTATTGGATAGAGACGTAGATGCTACAGTAATTTTAGTTAATTTTGCAACATTAGAATTTACTAGCAAGGATTTTGGTCATCTAGACTACCTCTCTGTTAACTCAGTTTTTGTTAGGCTAAACAGTAATATATGTTTTTTATTATTTTTATCAGTTTTTGAACACAGCCCATATTACAATCTGTTTGGCTTTCAGCAAATATTTGTTTATTTATCTTTATGTTCCTGCAATTCTTACACTCCTTTTTCCATTACCGCATTGATTTTCATCATCATTATCATCACTGTTTGCATCCAACTTAGCACTACTATTTATTCAACTATCTTTCATGTCAAACTATAAGTCATCTAGGGTCATAAAATGAGTATTCCTTTAATGTTTGCTTGTAGTTGTATGTCTAATTTTACATAATTAGTTATATTGTTTACTTACACTGTAGCATTTTAGTATTTAAGTAGCTCCTGGCCATATTATTTGTACTATAACAACTGTATTGTTAATTACACTAAATCCTTATATATTTATAATGAGATGTGCGTTACATCTTTAATCATTTTTATGTGTTTTATATAGTCCTTTCTCCTTACTCCTTCCATTTCTACTAATCTTTCATCACCTCAAATTATATATAACAATATTGCTACAATATATTTTCTATTCACTCGATTGGTAAATCAATAAGTATAAGAATAAGCAATTATATTATTAATTAAATAAAATCAAGTACAAAATAATTGTACAGTATAAACTATGATAATAAAAGTGAATAGTTTTCTATATAGTGTAATAAATAAATATATAGGTTAGGTAAGGTACTGGTAAAGGTAAAAATACTTTTGTTATATTAACATTTAAAATGAAAGAAACTACTGACTTACAAGAGTATAATTGTTTTTATGCAAAGAATATCACAATTTTTTAAATAGGACCCGCTAAAAAAGTTATGCATGGGCATAACTAAAAAAATTCTTTAAATTAAAGAAATAGCCCTAGATATTGTTAGATTTTACTATTCTAAATGTGTAAATATTATTTTTGTTACTTTAGGAAATGGTGGAAAGTACATTGAACATTCTGAAAACAATGATTAGTAAATTTTATTGTTTGAATAATTTACATTATTATTATAAAAAGTATAAAAAGACTTTAATTTTCATTACTAGTATAACATTTTAATTGTTGCAAAATCAATGTTTCATCTATGTAAGGTTTTATTTTAAAAGAAGGCTTTATACAAATTTGGTTGGATCTGTTCTCTTTAATATTTGTAAAAATAAAATTAATTATTTTTGTATAATTCTGTTTTAAATTATATCTTAGAAGTTATATTATTAGTTATTTTGTATAAATAAATTTATAAGACTGATATATTTCTTATAAATAAATAAAAAAAAATTAATTTGAGTAAATAATTATAATTTTATGTAAATTATATTAATTATAAAATATGTATGTTACTACTGCTTATGTTAATTTGTTTATTTGTGTAATGTATTATTACATATTTGTCATGTCAAAATTAAATTTTTTTTACTATTATGATATATTAGATTAAGAACATATATTAGGAAGTTTTAGGGTTCAATCCTTCTCCCTAAAATTAGGTGTATATCCCTTAAATTTTCTTTATATTCCAACACCTCTTATTGTAAATATTTTGAATACGTGATTAATAAAATTAACAAACTAAATTGGGATCATTTAATTATAACCAAAAACTGAAGACACTGTTACGAGGGTTAAACTGGCCATGGAAATAAGAGATCAATTGCCCCTTGAACTAATGTTTATAAAGCAATTTAATTTCACTATATGCAATTTCTAAAAGAAAAATCTATTTAATCTTTAGAGATGCAGTATATAATTAGAAATTATATTTAGATTTATTATTTATATAGGAACATGTTACAAAAAAATTTGGAAAGTTATAGACTGGTATTAGCACACACACATAGAGTTAAAAAATTAATAAATTACAAAGAAAAATTATTTACTTTTGTAGTTGAATACTTTTATCATATCACATATAATTCGACAATAAATATTTTAAAAATATTAGAAATGAATGATTTTAATTGTTTGTATGGATAAAGCTGTTTAAATTACTTTTTAATTGATTAAGGGATTTTTTTCAATTTTTGAGGATAATATCTTCAACTAAACACACAATGTAATCATTTGACATATCGTTGAAAAAGTTGGTTAAGTGAGAATTGGAAAAATAAATCTCAACCACAAAAAAAAAAACACATAGTAAAATAATATTAACATGAATAATAAATTTCTTCTCGCGAGGAGAGACTAGAGTGGTAGGGTCCTTGATATTTATTAAAATTATTGAATCTAAATGAGATAAAAATCAAATGAATCAAATAAAGCTTATGTCATGAACTATAAATAGAAAAAAAATATGTCCCGACGACTTATCTCATATTATTATATGTCAAAATAACTAACGTAGTTAAAAACATGCTATTTTTGTGATAAAATGTTCGATTTTAAATTGCTATAACTTTTCAAAAAATTTATCAACACAAATTTTTTTTTTCTAAATACATTATATATTTCTTTTATCCGACATACTTTTTTTTTAAATCGGGCAATTTCCCCTTATACAGGGGTGTTCAAAACTTGAAACATACGTATAAAAATTAGAACTTTTTCAACTTAAATTTTGAAAATGTTACGGAAATACTACGTCCTTTAAACATATGTTACGTTAAAGCTTACAATAAATACTATAAGTTCAAAAAAAAAAATTATCCTGACACCTTTTTTTCTATGGAAAATGGCCGTTGAATTTAACAGAAATGTAATTTTTATGTGAAAAATCACTGTTTAACATGAAATATTTTAATACTGAAAACTGCTAGAACTTTTTGAAAAATGAACAAATTATAATAATTTTTTTTTATATTGAAACCTTAGATATTTTTCTTTCATATGATATACATTTTTTGAAAATCTGACGGTAAACCTGGTCACAGGAAGGAAAGCAATTTTTGCACACAATTTAAGCTTTTTCAATTTAATTTTTAAAAATGTTCGGGAAATACTGACACTTACATTTAATCTTAAATTAAAGCTTATATTATATACTTTACTATGAAAAAAAAAAAATTCGAAATATAGTTTTTCTTCATGGTGAAAATGGCTACCCTATTCAAAAATATTTTGAATACGGTAGCCATTTTTGTGTTAAAATTATGGGTTTTGTATTTTATTTTATTTTAAAATATCTTACAAGGCGAATATACCCACTTTTATAAATATTATATAATTTAATTGACATAGAATTAAGTTCATAAGACATAAGAAGTTAAATTTATTTAAATTTTTTTGCTTTTTTAAAGTCGAAAAAGTAACTTTAAAATTTGAATTAGCTTAAATTGTCAATTTTTTTAGCCAATTTACATTAGATTTGATGTATGTTTAAAGGACGCAGTATTTCCGGAATATTTTCAAAAGTTAAGTTGAAAAAGTTGAGTTTTGTAAAAAAGTTGCTATTTTAAATCCCCCCTGTGAAGTGTTAGATTTTCAAAAAAATGATATCAAATAAAAGAAAATTTTTAAGGTTTTAATTTAAAAAGAATTATGTCGATTTGTTCATTTTTGAAAAAGTTATAGTAGTTTTAAGAAAAAAAAGTGAAAAAAATGTCAAAAATTACTGATTGAAAAAATTGTAATTTTTTTGGAGAATTTCCCTATTTACGGCGAATGAGGGAAATTTTTTCAATTTTTAAAGGTAATGTCTTCAACTAAATACGATTTGTGATCTTTTGACGTATCGTCAAAAGAAATCAGTCCTGTAAGAGCTGAGAAAAAGTTTCAACAGACACAAAAAAAAACACATCATGGTAAAATATAATATCATATGAAAAATGAAATAATGATTAGCTGTAATATGTTTGAATATATTTAGTGAGGCATAGTTAAGGAATCACTCTGTATATTATAGAATATTTTGGTTCTTATGTCATGTATAAATACATAATTTGTGTTCTGTCAGGTAATTAATCTTTATTATACAGACAACTAATATAATAACAGTGAAGTAGTCATAGAATTTTATAATCAAACCATATTTTTTTTTGTGTCTGTTCGCATAAGTACTTATTTTCTCATGAAAAGAGGAATAACAGTTGATTAACAGTTCTTATAACAGTTCTTCAGTTCACTTAAAGAAGGAATCTTTCCTTCTATATCAAAGTTCAGCTTAGTTACCCTTGTACACAAGTCCGATGAAATGTCCAATGTTTCCAATTATCGTCCGATTTCAATCCAGTCACACATTTCCAAAATTTTTGAATTGTTGGTCTTGCATTGTATCTAACCTATGATCAATAAAATTTTTATGGAGGAACAACATGGCTTTCGCCCTGATCGTTCCACCATTACCTGTAATTTAGTCTTTAACAACTATTTATACCAAACTTTTAATTTGAAAACACAGGTAGATACCATTTACACGAATTTCAACAAGGCAATTGATTCAGTTAATCACAATGCCCTAATCCAGGTCCTTAACTTATCCGGAATCGGTGAACCTCTCCTGTCCTGGTTTTCGTCTTACCTATCTTACCATTACCAATGGGTCAAATTGCTTGGAGTAAAATCTAATGTCTATCCTGCTACGTCCGGTCTTCCTCAAGGAGGTCACTTATCTCCGCTCCTGATCTCTCTATTCATTAACAGTTTATCAAGTATACTTTCCAATAGCCAGATTTTATGTTTTGCAGATGATATTAAGCTCTACTCTCGTATATCCTCCTTAGATGACTGTATTTTATTACAGAGTGATTTTGATCGGTTTACAGAGTAGTTTAATTTACTAAGGTTATCCCTTAATGTATCTAAATGTAAGACCATGACTTTTACCAGGATTCAGTCACCTGTCAAATATGTTCATCATCTCGGATCTACTGAGATTTTATGTTCTAATAACTTTGTAACTGATTTAGGATTTATTCTTAGTAGTGATCTTGATCCTAGACCCCACATTGAGCATATTTGTTGTAAGGCCTTCAAAACTCTGGGGTTTGTGTTAAGATTATGTGGCGGTCGAATATTCTAGAATGTCCGGCCGCCGCCGCCTCTAGAAGATTCGTCGCTCTACATAAGCGTGTGGCAGTCGAATGTCTAGAGAGTTCCGACGCCGCCTCTAGAAGATTCCTCTGACTATTTAAGGGCAAGATCGTCGCTCCAGTCAGTCAGTCGATCAGTCAATCACTTACGCATTCTGTCTTACACGCGCTTCGTTTCTCGCTGTTATTTATTAGTTCGTTGTAATACAGTTCGTCTCTCGCTGTTATTTGTTATTTGTTAGTTCGTTGTAATATAGTATAGTTGTTATTAAATCGTAAAAGTGTTTATTACTTCTATATATTACACCTCGCTACATTGGTGACCTCGACGATAACAAGTATGAACGCCGAAGAACTACGCAATCAATTGGAGGAGTTACGCCAAGAAAACGCTCGCCTTGCAGCACTACAGGCACAGCAATATCCAACAGCTTCAGTGAATCGCGTTGCCGTCAAGTTGCCACCTTTCTGGTCCGAAAGACCGAGCTTATGGTTCTCACAGGTTGACTCGCAGTTTGCAATCTCGGGAATAACAAGTGAGGAAACAAAATTTAATTATGTTGTGGCTCAGCTTGATACGCGTTACGCCGCCGAAGTAGAGGATATTATTACTAACCCACCGCCTACTGAACGCTACAAACATCTACGCGCAAAACTCGTTGAACGGTTGTCTATCTCAGAAGAACAACGTGTGCGGCAACTCATCAATGAAGAAGAACTAGGTGACCGTAAGCCATCACAGTTCTTACGACATCTCCGTTCCCTTGCCGGCACTACTACATTACAAGACAATATTTTACGTCAACTTTGGCTCCGCCGTCTACCATCACATGCACAAGCTATTTTAACCGCACAATCAGAGCTTCCTCTGGATAAGGTAGCCGAGCTGGCTGACAAAATTGTTGAAGTGCAGCCAGCCCCCTCGCAATTCGTCCATGCTGTTGCCACGACGAACAATAAAAAGGAACTCGATGTTTTAGCCGCCATTGAAGCACTCGCAAAACAGGTAAGCGAATTATGTGCTAAACGCCCGCAACGTTCCCGCTCTAGGTCACGTAACCGTTCAAACGTGGAACTGACTAACGGCAAAGGATGGTGTTGGTATCATAGCACTTATGGAGAAAAGGCTGCCAAATGTAAGGCTCCCTGCAAGTATCAGGAAAACTCCAACGACAGTCAGTAGCGGCGGCAACAGACTGTCCGAACCCGAGCAGCCGCCTGTTTGTTACAGATCAAATAACAAAACGCCAATTTTTAGTCGACTCCGGTTCCGACTTATCTTGTTACCCTCAA